CTACTTTATTAGTCAACAAATTTGAAAAGGAGAGTCTTTCAAGCCAGCCGAGTCATGAACACGATAAACTCTGTCCGAGTGTGAAATAAGCAATCACCTCAACGCTGATTGGTTGTTTAGCATTCTCACTATTTATTGGTTAAATCCAAAATTCTTTTTTCTCGTATAAAAAATTTAATTTTACCACAAAGGTAGAGGAATGATTTTAAATGGTATCAATTAATTTTCCTGGCTTCTATGAATGGACTCATGATTGGACTTATAGTGAGAAAAGCACATTTTGTTTTACTGCGAGTGCGCAATTTATGCGGAATTTGGAGTATTCTTTTGGGTGGTTGACTTGGCACAATAAAAGTACAGTTGGCTTGAACTGTCCAAAAGACATTCGCAGGCTGACCACCGGCGGTGTGGCCACTAGATTTTGGAGTGATTTACGACACTATAGGCAAAGGATACTTGAGTGCTCTCGACCATGGAACGAGTTGGAACTATAAGGCATTCCAATTTGGTAGCTGTCCGGCATTTCTTCTTTACTTTATTTGTCAAGGCAAGGTAACTTATAACACGAGCTGGTGGTTCGTGAAGCAGCTTATGTCAAATTTGCCTTTCAAACGGATTAAGTAAGGTCAAAACAATGAAGAGAGCTGGATAAAGAAGTACTCTTAGAGCTCTGGTGTTGGGGCTGCTTTGCTTTATTTAGAAGCCTTAAGCACCTGACATGGGATGCTCAAGTGGGCTAGGAGACAAAGGATTGTTCGCTCTCTACCAATCAGATTGAGACCTTCGGCACACAACCGATTGCTGCTCCTCTTTTATTCAGTTAAAGAGCCATATTTAGTGGAGGAACTGGGACTTTTAAGTCACAAAAGTTTTTAAACCTTCGTTTTTAAACCAAAACTAGACAATCTACGCATTGACTTAATTTAGCAATACTTCGGCAGTTTTTGAAAGATAAGGGCGGATTTTTAGACCCTTTTTCTTTGAAAATGTCGTTATATATCCCTAATTGTTTGACACCACGGTGCGACTTATTATGTAGACTGTTTTATGCTGATGTTATATAATCCTATTTCCTTCATCCCATCCCATACTGACCTACTACAAAATTCCCCAAACAAAATAGAACATTCCAAATCCGTTTTCTCCCCTCATATGTGAACTATCCGGAAAATGGTTCTCGCTTTCACCGTGGAATGGGTTGTTTTTCACATTTCAAGTGCCCTGTGATTGGCATGGAATGTCAAGGCGGGGGAATGCTACTTGCCATCGGTCCTGCAACGCTGCTGCTGCGTTAAAATCCTACCCGTCATTGTTGCTTTTGTAGGAATTTATGAAAAGATCACGCTGCGATTACCCATTAAATTTGTATTGTTTACATTTCGCTTCCGTGGAGTTAAGTGGGCACATCACCGCTCCGTGTGAAAGGGGTGAATTGCAGACTAGAATTTGAAACCCAAGAATATGAGGGTTTATTCATTTAACATTTTGACAGGTTCTCATCAAAAATTTAAGCCGCACTTTCTTCTAAATACCCCTCCCAGAAAATTAATAATTATGTCACACCTCAAGGTCGCAGTAGGCCGACTCCGAATACGCGATTGGCCACTTGTGGACTAAAAAAAGGCGCATGGAGGAAAGAAACGGTCTATAGAAATTTGGCAATAAATTCACAACCCCTTCTCGTCACAACAGCATGGGTAGAGGAAGGTGGGTCTTTTCGACTCGTGGAAATTTCGTTTCATCTGCTCTGGCTCCTCTCCCTCTTTGTAAGCAATATTTTTACCCGGAGGAATTCTAGCAATTAAATAGAGGCATCAAGATAAAGAGAAATTCAAATTTAGGCTTCTCATAAATGCACATGATAAACATAATTAATTTTTTACAATTGCATGCTCTAATGTTTCTTAATTAGAGGAGTCAGCTCTTAAAAACAATTTCATTTTCCTTATCAACTAGGGTGTCTTCTTCAAAACAAATTTTGGCTATGTAAGAGATTTTATTTGCTATTTCTAAATTATGATTGCCAAAGCAAATTCAGATTTTTTTATATTTTGATTAAGTGTCATTTGTCAAATCAACTAGGAAGATGTTTGAATACGCACATGTATCAGTGCTGAGATTGATCTCACGACGCCTAAAATGTAATACAGAAAGTTCCGTTAAAAGTGCTTGAAATTTAGTCATACTTCCCCATATTTTTTTTTCACTCTCTCGTAACAGTTGTCTTACATCATTTGCCCTTTGCGTTCAACAGAGTCGACAACGTTAAAAATTCAGAAATCGGAATTTTATTTCTGGTTTGTTATGCGCTGAAAAAAAGCCGAAGTAAAGGCGATCTTTTGAATGTCATTTCTGCGCACGAGATATACACACCGTGGTGGAATGCACATGCTTTCTAGGACGTGCTCGTGGAAGCTGTATGGGGATACCTTCTTTCAGGCAGTGCATCTGCGTGGTTAAAAACGCACGCAATAGTTTGTTGACCTTGTAGTGCTATGTGGTGGCCTTCTTTACGGTCTCATAGCTAATAGAAACACACATTTGTTTACCCATCGCCGTTGCAATTACTGAACCGCAAAGTTTGCTCAAGACGACTCCAATTTTCCTTTCTATTTCACTATAGAGAATACAACTTGTTAATTGCTTTTGTCTCGGTGACACATTTTTCTCTACCCTTTTAAACCAATCTCCTTGGGGTGCGATTTGTTGCACCCAACAGTTAAAATCAGGCAGTGACCATATGTCACGTATTAGTGACGTCCTGCTTCAATGAGATAACCGAGGCCCATCAAGTCCAAGTACTACTGACTAGGGCGAATTAACAAAAGTCGCGTTAATCACGTTTGTCTTGCACCGGGCGCAGACATCCATGACACTCAGAATGCGGCAGGAGGGAAGCGAGGCTATGACATGACTTTGACATTTTTTCTCGGCTACCCACTCCTGAGTCGAGCAAACTGTTCTGGAAGGAGAGAGTCTCCGCAACACGGCAGGAGACCTCTCCATCATCAGTTTAATCTCGGAATTTTTCTAGAGTAGTTTGACCTACCCGCACTGGCAACAGATTCGGTGTAAGAATGACCGTCCGCAGTAGCATTGGGCGTGGGAGGAGGGAACTTCGTTTGCCTCCATCTATCAAATTGGGAAAGGAGTCATTAGATTTCGTGAGAAGGCCAGCAGAGTAGGAATGTGTTTTCATTACTGTACACAAAAACAAGAAAGCAGGAACACTTTAGATGTCGGGATTGCCATTTTTGCTGGGAGTAGAAATAGCAAAATTTTTCCGCTTTTCAATGCAGGAAAGGAAACGTGTCCGCCATTTGCGCATCCTAGTAGCGCAACGGAGAAAAGGGGAAGAAATTTGGCCCATTAATTATAAAACGAATTACATGCCTATGTTAAAATATTTTCCTTGTTGCACCCCTCCTGCATTTCCGGCTTCAGACCTTTGGGTCGAGCAGACCGCCTAGCACACAAAATCTCACATTGTGTCAAGGGTTTGTGTCGGTAAGGGGTGAAAACTTTTCAATTTCTCGTCAGAAATCGCTGACGTTCGCTTGAACTGACCGCTTGCCACCAGAAAGGCGTCAATTGAGACAAACACACATCACGATAAATGACTCAGATAGAGGGAATTAAACTTTTATTTTTACGCAATTTTTAATCGTTAATTGAAGTTATTATTTTTATTAAAATGAAATCATCCAAAATATTTGCTTTTTATTCACCGATCTCATCACATGAACACTTAAATAGTTTGGGTTTTCCACTTTTTCCAAAAAAAAAAACTTTTTTTGAGAATTATGGGAACAATCCATGCCAAAGCGCTGTAAACGGTTTCTTCTCGAGATGCTAGGCGCCTTAAGTACCCATTAAAATGATTTGACATTTGCACGACCGCACTCAGGTTATGGATGCATACCCCCATTACTTCTAGGCTACTGCAGTTATGGAAACTATGGATGATCACTATTATTTTGCTTAGGCATAAAGACAACCTCCGTTTCTGCAGGGACAAAGGTGCTTAGGCATGCTAATTATTATAATAGACCAGCAAAATGGGGCACAAGTTCCTGTGCGGGACTTTAAAAAATATTGGCGTTGTACTTAAATTTAATAAGTAGGCGTTCTAGTGTAAAATTTCACCTCTGGGGCTCTGAAAATCGCCAATTCAAAATCTCCGTGCAATCACTGCTATCATTATTAATTATTTACGATTGTTCATTTTTAAATGACGATCAGAATAAGCATTTTTACGTAAATGGAAGAAGGTTTCGATATGGAGCAATTTATACTGCTTGCTTTGGTGGAAGGCGAGCTAAAGGCAGGCAGATTCAAGGCGCAGTTGACTCATAAAAGATGCTTTTAATTTGCCACCTGTCCCACCCTAGTCTTAAGGGTAAAATTCATTAGATAAAGCACATCCCGTGTGTATTTTACTGTTCTAAGCCCTTCTACTTCTGACACGATTCGATGCAGCAAGACTTTCTCTAGTGAATGAAGCATCATATGTATGAACAACCTGAGGATGTGAAATGCTCCGGAAGACGAAAGACTTATAGCCAGGATAAGCTTAAGTGTCTCATTTGTATAAACCAGTTTGGGCGTCCGTCAAATAGACTTCAGGGATTTTCAGATCTCTCTCGCTCAAAAAACTTAACCACTGGCCCCAACGAAATCACACTGGATGTATTTCAATCCAAGTTAGGTACTGAAGAATTTTCATGAAATTAAATCAAGAAGTGCAAGATTGTAACATTGCTGACGATTTTATGAGGATCGTAAGATTTACAAAAAGAACTTCTACTGACTCAATTGCAAAATGGAAAAATTATAAATTTTCTCAGCTTTCCCATTGGCGATAATCTCGCCTTTCTAGGCAGACATCGGTATTATCATTTTCAATTCACAGTCAATTTTAGGTTCCAACGCATTGACGATAATGATTTGAGGTGTCTATGTGTGTCTGCGCCTCTCTTTGCACAGACCAGTCTGGTCCCATGTCTCACCTAACCAAATTCCCTTCACCAATCGCAATCACTACGGTACCTTGGAGGGGAAACGAGTGTATCCCCCCAGCCACCGCCACCGCCGTTCACCGTAGCAAACAGGGCACACGCACCAATGACGAGGCCTTTCGGGTGGACATAGAGGTCTTCAGCTACCGACCAATGCGCACCAGCGTGCAATCGTCCCATCGACCCGCGGACCAACCCACGCACTGTTACCGCGGCAACCCGGGCGAGGGGGGCTTGCGTGTACGACGGTTGCGCCTGTCTGTCCACGCGCTCAGTCCCCTATTTCGACGCCAGCGTCGGCATTGGAGGCACAGCGACACTACCGGCTGCAGCAGCGTCCGACACGTCTTCTCGCATCGACGCAAACTCTACCTCAACAGAGTGGTGAGTGTTTGAGCGCCCCGTTACCCACATCTGTGGCCCCATCTCCCTCTTCCGCCTTGCCCTTTTAGAATTTAAGGCATTATTATTATTGCTCAAAAGCAATGGATTGTGGGTATTAGGGTGCCTTTTGAAACTACATTCTTAATATTTGGACGCAAGTATTCAAGCTACCATTGACTCCTCCAAGCAACAAGGCGCCTACCCAACCAAAAATCCACAGCTTTCATCTTTGTTGATAGCCGATCACTATGTGACACAACTTTTGGAAATTTGTCAACCAGCATAACCTTTTTAGGTCTTTTATTTTTAAATAAATTACGTGGATTTGAAAAAGAACAATGGTCCCTAAATTGTGCTTGGGTTTGGAACTGGAATGAAATGCAAAAATTTGGCGTATTTAACAGAAAGATAAAGCTTTAAAAATTACTAGGAAATTTGTATTACATTTGACTAAATTGAATTTTTATTACTCTCTGTGGTATTACTCCTGTATAATTTTAAGTTTTATCCCACTTGTTTTGATTTCGTAGAGATTGGAAATGGAGGGTTTCAAGATCAGCGACGATCAAGTTAGGGGTAGGTCTTTTGAACTCCAGCTCATTTCCCCTTTTTTATAATCTTTATGCCGGTACTTGGAAATGCATTTTCAATAAATACATCGCTCTTCGAGCCTCACCATCTTAAATTTCCATCACTCTGCAGCCGCTATTTGACCTCTCGGTACATTTAGGTTGCAATTTGTTTTTTTTTCTTGGAAAATCTTTTACGTATACAGAAATAAACATTTGCATATATTTGGTCGGTCAATATTCCCCTGGGGCAATAGCTAGGTGATCGTGACCGTGGTTTCCCCAAGCGAAATTTGATTGGCTCCCTCCTGCACTTTGGAGGCACGCACCTGCGCGACGATTGGTCACGCGACCCGATGTGTGCGCGTGTTTTCGGCCAGGGCGCCGATGCAAGAGCATCGGCCTTTCGATAAGGCAGAAAATATCATTTTACTTTGAGCGTGAATACAAAGTAATCTCATCTCTTTCGCAGTTGCAACGGAGACCTTCAAGAAATTCGACAAGCGCGGGCAGGACAAAATCAGCACCAATGACCTTGGTCCAGCTTTTAGTGCACTCAAGGTCTCCATCAAGCCTGATCTCCTCAAAGAATGGGCTGATGAAGTGGATGATGACGGTGAGTCTACTCTTGAGATATAAGTAGCACTCACCAAGTCCTATTATAAGTGGGGAAATAAAAAGACGATTCGGATGCAACATTTGATATCTTTTAGCCACTGGTTTCATCGATCTGAGTGGATTCCTCCTGGTCTACGGAAAAATCCTCCAAAACGAGCAGGACGAGGAAGACTTGCGGCAGGCGTTCCGTGTGCTCGACAAGAATCGCAGAGGTGAAATCGACGTGGACGACCTTCGATGGATCCTCAAAGAGTTGGGCGACGATTTGACCGAAGAGGAGATCGACGAGATGATTCGTGACACGGATCGTGATGGCTCCGGATTTGTAGACTTTGATGGTGGGTGTTGGCACCAAAACCGGTGGATTACTAGCTCAGAGTACCGTATACCATAAATATTTTTCCCGTTTTAGAATTCAAGAAGTTGATGACATCAGAATAGATACATTAGGCTTCCAAAAACGCCTTCTTTCCTCCTCTTCTCCATCCCTTCCTTCTTATTTCGCAACAAGCGAACATCAATTCGCTTTACGCATTATGATGGCTTCTATTCATCCGCTTATTTTATATGAGTCCGCAAGGCGAAGAATTTATTTCTGATCTTTTCGACCAACACAAAAAAAAACAAAACAGACTTCCTTCCTAACCAACCCTCGTCTGCAAATACCCTTTATTCTCAGCTAACTCGACTCGCCCACTGATACATAACGGAAAGCATAGGTTATCTTTCCTCACAAAAAGCAGCCCCTCTGATGTTCTATTCTTGAAAATTGATGTAAAAAATAGATGAATTAAAGGATAGCTAGAAGAAATGGGCCTTTTAACTTCGAAAGTTGTCCACGACCGCTTGATACAAAGTTAAATTAAAGTGTGTTTCGAGTGGGTCGTCACCCAGTTGGCGCTGGATATTGCTTGCCTCACTAATGAGAGGGAGTACATGACAATGAGAAAGGAGAAAAGGAATACTGAAAAGCATACATTTAAAGGTCAAAAAATTGCTTAAAATAGATGTTTTTGAAAACAACTATTGACAAACAATACTTCAGTTTAGGCTCTCTACACAGTTGTAGTTATTTGGTGCTAAACCAAACGCAAATCCAGGCCTTCTACGCCAACGGCCGAATAACCCTTCAAATTCGTCTGTAGCGCTCCGAGACGTCCCTGAAGCCAAAAGAAGATATAAGACTCGGGCAGAATATGTTGCGTCGACTTACGGAAGGGTTTCGGGACTACTGCTATGCACCGAAGGTCAAACAGCTCGAAGGAGGTACAATGGTCGGGCCCCTGAGTGGCTTGTTACTAAGACGGAGAGTTAAAGAAACAGTTGGCGGATTACACGTCAATAATAAATAAACCTGATGGGGCGTGTTAGGCCTTTAAGAGAGACTCGAGCCATTACGTGTTCCTTAAGCTTATTTAGTTAGGAAGAGGTATACAGGCAATTACACTACCTTTAGCAGGTGCTGGGAAGTACTATTGTAATTTAATGGTCCGATTCCCTCTGTGTCATGGTTACGCAGTGGCTTAAGTCTCCACCATTGTACTTCCACTAAACTGCATGGGCTCCAGACATTGTCAGTGAGCTTTAACATGCGTCGACAATGCACTTTCTGCCCTAGGAAAACAATTTCCTTCGAAATCAGGAGTTCAGGGAGTTGCACGACTGCAAGAGATACGGAAAGGTATTACTACCTAAAAGGAGGAATATAAAAACAATATCTGTAGAATATTAAGCAACATAGGATACAAGGTTGATTTTAAGTTTTAAAGTGTGTTAAAATGCGTGGGCACTTTATTCACCACAATTTGTTCTTCCGCTCTGCGTCCGAGCCCTCAGGTAAAGCTAACAGATTTTAAATCTTCATCATCTGAGTAGGGAGCATCATGCCTTACCACTTTGGACTTTTGCAATTTCAAAACAAAGCACCATGATGCATACTTAAAAAACTAATCTGCTTTTAAATGCGAAAAAATACTTGTAGAGTTGTTGTAAAATTAGGTGAAATCCGAATTCTATCTCAAAATACCACCCCCATCAATAGGCTTCCGTGCAACAGTAGTAAAACCTCAAAAGAAAAAAATGTGGTATAGTTAAGTGAGTTCGACCTTTTGTAAGTAGGGCTCGAAATCGTTAAAGAGTATTAATACATATTGTTGCTCACATGGAAACAGTAAGAAGTACTTTTGAACCTGGACTTTTGTAAAATAGAGACAAAGTTCATGCGTGTAAAGGTTAAGGCTGCAATTAGCTTTTTATATAAATAAATCTTTTCCAAATAGCTTTCTTGTTTACATTAGCTAGAAATACCTAGTCCCGCGTTGTTTAGATCGCTTCCAGTCTCATCTGTTCACACTTTCTGTGCGTGTGGGATTACCGACCGTCAATTTTTATCGCATAAAATGGCGAATGTTCCCGGTCGTAATAATCGAGATCCTACAGCGAGGTACATATTGTGCTTGACTTAATGAGATTGCCCAATCTTCCATGTGTTCCCTTAAGTTAATTCAATGGCGCTTTGTTTACCCATTCTGTAGAATGCTGAAAACAAACTCTTTCCCAGGAAAGAGGAGCGACACCCCTGATTCGAGCACATCGGCTCAAAGAACTGTCAGTCCAGTTCAAAACACTGGTCCTGGCAGTCCGAATTCTTCCATGGTCGCAACTAACCATCATCCTATTCCACACCTTCAACACCACCAGAATCATCGTCCATATTTTCCACGTGGTCGATACCGCGGTGATGGTGGGTATTATGGTGGACACAATCATTTTGGTGGGCATCATCCAAACCTCAATCGTAGAACCTCACCACCGATTCATGGTCCTCCGTTTTCGAAAGACCTTGTTGATTTCATGATGAAGGGTAAATTTCTCGGTTTATTCTCTACCATTGTCTTCCTTATTGCTGATTTGGGCTATATCGTCCTCCTCTTCCATAGAATGGGATCAATTTTCTACAAACTACCGAAGCACTCATCCTGGTGATCCGATCGATAATGGGCTAGTGATGCATTCTGGACACCACCAACACCAGCAGCATCAACCAATAGTTTCTACCTCTCCACGAGTGGGAGGGCACGTCAATTCCCCACATCGAGGACAACACATCCGCTACAATCACCAAAATTCCCCTGGAAATAATTGGTCCATCAACAATGGTGGGAATGGACGGAAATATTCCGAAAATGGTGATCACTCCAACACGGGGTCTCTTAGGCGTCACCATAACCATCGTGGTGGTCATGCTCCCTCTCCCTTGCTGCAAGGTAAATGGGATTTTCTTTTGCTCCAAAATTTTTTCTTTGGTGGCCTGCGATGGCTGATTTTGCTCGTCATCCCCTCCCCCACCTCCAGGCAATCAACCATGGCAACGCAGCACGCTAACAAATCGGCAGAACTCGCCCAACAACACGTTGAATCGTCCCACAGGTAATTTTGGAATGTCCAGACGTTGATTGCAACCCCAGGGGGTACTTTTCTTACCGTTTGGGGGTGCACAGAAGCCGTGGTAACTGTAGTCATAAGTATATATCTGATGGTGGGCGTTTTGGTGGTGGCACTGTACGGCTCCACCACAAATGGAAGCTTCTTTTTCATCTTGGAGGCTTTATGCCTCATTAGTGAGGTTCTTTAAGTTTGTTGATCGGTACCGACCCTAACGACTTACTACTAACTGCTAGGGTGCTGTGTTGTATTGAGGAAAGCTGTGTGTCGTTGAAGGAATTACTGAAGTAGGCGGGGCTCTTTGTCGCAGTAATTGAGCCGCCACTTTGGCTAGGTCTTGAGTACCCTTGTGAGAGGATCATGCAAAGGGCTTTTGGTTAGCTTTAAGATGCCATTTCCTTTTTGTGATCCAGAAGTTACGCAGTTACCCTTGACATAGCCGCCTTATTTAGTCATACTACAGCAACCTGTCAAATCTATCAATCCTTTCTCTGGACATGCCATGATCGATCTGTTTCCTTTGGATACGTACTTGCTATTTACAGCATCATAAACTGCTACTGGTTCTTTTTTGACAGTTTACCTTTTGTTTTCTAATTAAATCGTGAGAAAGGCAAACATCAGATTTATTGAATTCTTTTTTTGAAGTAATAGGAGGAACTTTGTTATGGTGAGATCTATGCTTACATGTACAGGGTCCGAAGAACCCATCTGTGGATTTTATTCTTGCGATTTAGTTTTTTGTTGTAATTATATTTTGTCGTTTTCGCTTCATATTTCGTAGTTCAAGCTATCCCGCTGCACTTTGTCATGTACATGTTATTATAGTAGTCTTATTAAAATTAGGTCTTGAATTTCCAAACTTGGAAGAACCTGTATAGATTATTGAGGCATCAGGAGTGTCCCTTCGTTCCTCGTCTTGGGTATGGTTAGGAGACTGAAAGCACGAAATTACCGGAGCGAGGTTATTGCTACGTCATGCATTTGTGGGTGTCTCTACCAGATATTCGTCCATTTATTTCCGCAGCCTCATTATTACCTTTGAAACCTTGATTTGGATTTCAAAAAAAATGTTAAGTTAAATTCAATAAAGAAAAGATGTTGTACAGACTTTTGCAATGCCATTTTGGGGGAAGTCGTGTCATCATAGTTTATTACTTTTAGGAAAGTATTCTGAGTCAAAACACTATCTTTTGCGAATTGATGACTTCATTTACTTCAAAGCAGGGACTTTACTCCTCGTTGTATTCGTGTCTCGAATCGAAGGCTGGCTTTTTTTGTGGTATTCCTTCATTTAATAGATCTACTCAACTTGTAGTCGTGATTGTTGCTACTTTTTGGACCAAAGGCAGAAAGGAGCACGTCCAAGAATAGAGCAGTTACTGGGTTTCTAGGTGATGTTGGTCACTTCCGAAAAGTCTTTGTGGATACTTTTAGTGGTGCTAAGTCCAGTGAACCTTTTAGTGAATCCTCATCGCGCCTTCTGAATGTGATTCCTTTTCTGATGTGAACTAACGGCGAATGCGGGAACTATTGTCGAAGCTATCTCATTCGATAAATGTAAGCGTTATCGCATCACAAGCTTACATAGGGCTGGACTGAGGTCTCAGCAATTTCATGTCTCAAGCAGTACCTTTAAAATCGTAAGTTGATTTGGGTTAGTCTTCGAAGGTGCTGTATGGAATTTTTACTTGCCGTGAGAGATGCCTCGTGTCGGTTAGCATTCTTCTTCACGCAAACTTCTAAGTGAGGTCGCCTCGATCTGCTTCGAAATGCGGTCATTGGGTCCTACCTGATTGAAAGCGAGGTAGTGTCGTGTTTATCAACTACACAAGTGGCGAGTCTCTTGTTTTTTTATCGTAAGGTAAAAGTTTTACCGCGAAAGTTTGGTTGCATCGCTTTGAACTGATGCGAGTTTGAATCCTACTGTCCTGCCTTTGAGTTAGAGGGAAACTTTTCACCGTTGACATTTTCTGGCACCGAAAACATGCACCAGCAGCGGCTAATGGGGTTTGGCGTCAATCCTTTCACTTATTTAGTCATCATTATTCATCGGGGTTACCTCCCTCTCACGTTAGTGTCGCCTGTATTGTAACAAAGAACCTCATCGATTCGCCTCTGAGTAGTGTCTCACATGAATGGTTCCATCTGCATGACCATGAAACAACACTGATGTTATCTTTGTGATTAAAAACTAACTGGTCCATTTTTGATGCCTCATCAGGGTTTTTCCAGCTACTTTTTTGGATCTGGCATCACATTGGCTCGATCAAGTTGTGCAAAAATTTGTCTTCCTTTACCTTCCACTCCCCCAGGAGCTGTATTCGTGCCTTATGTAAACATATTCGTCTTTTCTCTCCTCACTGTGTGCTTAAAGCTATTGCTCCACAAAAGCGGCTCATTCAACGCTATCGTTGCTGACACCACTTCCCCCTTCGTTTACTGAGCGTGCACACACGCACAAAGTTGTAGCAAATTTGTTGTCTTTTCCTCCCCCCCTTTTCCCTCCTCTTACTGGAGAACTAACTAACCTTCCTTTTTTCCAAAAATGTTGACTTTTTTAGGTTTCTCGATGCCCCACTACTTGCCACTACAGCCTAGGCGGAGTAAGTGTGGTGCAAATCTTAGTGCATAGACCTAACCAGCTAGACTAGTCGCTCTGACCACCTTTTTGTTTCCACCTCACTGGAGGCGAATTTTGCTCCCATCGGGGTTTTGCATTTCATGCCTCAGGACCACGACACACCTACCCGTCGCGTCCAATTGTATCGCCCACGTCTCCTGCCGCCGCTTCTGTGACCTCTGCTGCAACCTCTCCCGTCGCCGAGGCGAGCAGCAAAGTCGCCGAAACAGCAGCAGTGCCAGTTGCTGAAATGCACTCCCTCTCTCTCAAATCCGCCGACACCTCCAAACCAACGTCAGCTGCTGCTCCTGTAGCCAATGGCAAAAAGAATGCGGGTACGTTTGCCTTCTCCCTTTCTTATCTATAAATGGCGTTTGTGGTAAACTGAGAGGAGCGCAAGCGCCGTCTCTTCTGCGCGGTTGCTTGTCAGTGTTCAATTAATAGTTGGAAAGCAAAGCAGTCGCGGTGCAGAAGTTTTGACAGCTGGGTTGATGGACTCTGGGTCAGTCTGATTCACTTTGCCATCAACGCTACAGTGCTGAAAGGCATCCTGGTGCCTTGTATGGGGTAATTTTTGTGAACCACTCCCACAGGAAGTTTTACTTCCTGAAGATGCATCCATCGGGCGTCTTCGACGCACGGGTTGAACGTTGCCGGCAGAAGCTGCGAACGGGGATTGTTATTGGTTCTCGCATACAGCTGTCCTTGAAACGTGGCACTGCATTGTGCTGCGGCAGATGACTGCGAATTCGGTTTTTTTGCGCATTTTCACAGAACCATTCGCTCCTCACTACATGCTGTTGCATGCACGTACCACCGCCACCGCCTGTCGTCTTGATTAGTGGCGTGCGGGCTGGAGCACGAATTGTGTGCCGTCTGTTACATGTAGGAATGACATCCGTTGGTTTGTCGTGGTAGAGTGCGTTAGTTGTGTGTCGCTTTAGAAGTTGTGAAGCCTTTTGGTTGTACTAGAAGGCCTCACCGAGCCACCTTCTGCTGCTCCTGCCGCACTTCTTGACGTCGAGGCCAAGAAGAGGACTACGTCGACAACGACAATGTCAAGGGATGAGGCTGCCTCCTCAACCTCGTCCTCTTCGACATCCTCTCTCACGATTTCCAAGGTGAAGCAGCAGCAACAGCAGACGTCTGATGTTCAGCAGCAGCGGCAGCACCACCAGCATTCAACTCGACGTCGGGCTGCAACAACACAGGGCGGTTCGTCAGTGTCTGCATCGACAACGGCAGCTGCCCTGCCCCTCTCCTCCTCCCTTCCCGCCACACGGGCGTCTGAGACTGCTTCGGTGGCTTCTTCCAGCTTCTGCAGCCTCGTAGACCAAGGTTCGTCGTCGGTTTCGGCTTCCAAGTCTACGTCGTCTGCGTCGGTGTTGTTTATGCATGCTACTCCTCCGCCTTTCCGCATGACTGCACTCGCATGATTCCCCCAAATTTCAACGGCTTTCTATTGGGCGGGTTGGAATTGCTTCCATTTGGCAGCTTATCCTGTACTTGCCTTGACGTCTGCATGTGTGTTTATGTGTTTCAGTGGACACGATGTCGGCTGCAGATCAATACTTCACACCGGAGCCACCGTCTCCTTCCTCCAGCGCGTCGGCTTCCCTCTCAGTGGGAGTGTCGGAGACCTCTCATCACTTTACTACCTTGGCTGCTGTCGAGAGTGCGTCTACGGAGTCTCCTCCGCTCCCCTCGCCTCCGCCTCTCGCGCCTGCTCCCGTTTCCTCCTCCGCCTTCGCTGCCACCGCCACCACCACCAACCGATAAAGTCCGTCGTTTACCTCTTCTCTGTTTCCTCCTTTATTAATTCTCTCTCTGTGTGTCTGTCCTGTATCTCTTGACTCTCCTAATTGTGTATGCATTTTACTTGACAGCTGGGTCTCTCACGTCTACAATATACTGTCATTTTATACTGCTTTATCCATGCGCCTCCAGTTTTCCTTCGTGGAAGTGCGCATACTGGAGCCGCATTGCGACGTCTTACCTGCATTTAGCGAAGTTGGGCGTCTCTGTCCGCGATTGGACGCGGGGGTCGATGTCGAGATCGGGAGATTTGTGGAAGTGGCCTCTCGGGAATTGTCGAACTGTCGTGGACTATGCAGTAGTGGCCGTCAGGACCTTTTTAACGACGTGTGAACATGTTAGCGGGAGGAAAAATGAGGATTTAGGGTGCGCTTGGTCAGGGGATGGATTTGGCGTTCTGTGTTAGGCCATAGAACAGGCAAATTTGGCCCTCCGTCTTGCCTGAGGAGCTAAACTAGCTGATGGGTGAGAGGAAAGCAGAGTCGATGGCATGGTGGAGCTACGATGGATGTAAACTGGGATGGACGATTTTACTACAACACCTTGATGCACGATTGTGTTGCCGTATGGTGCAGGATGGTGGAAATGACTTGGTGCAGATGGGTGCACAGCTTGAGGAGGCATACAGTGAAGGGTTAAGAGTAGTAAGGCTTGGCTGAAGAAGACCAAAAATCAGATGCTTTGCTTTTGTTCAACACTTTGTGATTTGCTTTAACATGGAAGATAAGTAGCATTCTTGCCATCCTTGTTAAATTTTATAAATAGTTATTTACTAGTTAAAATGCTAGTTAAATTTTGATTATGTAAAATACGTTAAGTAGAAAACAACAGCTAAAAGGCTAGTATTAAATGACATTATGAGTGTTTTTTTTTCCCATTTACTATCAATGATACCGGGTTTTATGGATTTCTTATGCTGACGAATGGCAGTGTGCACGAAATGATGCGCTGCTCCATTTGTGCTCGCATGGAATTCAGTCGCTATTTTCTAAGTCCATAATCCTGTTCCGGGCATCACCTCTAGAGTAAATGGCCTTTTTAGTCATTATTTCCTGTTTTTAATGTTATCCTGATGGTCGTCTGCTGCCTTATTTGTGTCAGTCTAAATTTATGCTGCTTTCTTAATTTCGCCAAACTGTTTTTTTCCAAATTTTCAATTTATTCTAGGATGTCAGATGTAGTTAGTGCAGTTGAGCTACGTTTGGCGCGTCCATCTGATATCGGGGCAATTCAGCGCCTCTGCATTGAGTGTTTCCCTGTGCGCTATCCGGATCTATGGTACAGTGAAGTAGTCTGCACCGGCCGCTATCTCACCCTTCTTGCTTGCCTTCCTCTCGCCAACTACCGTCAATTTGAGATTTTGCGAGGGGAGGAGGAGAATATTGTTGGTCTTATCGTAGCCGAGTATCGCGCCCTCAGCAGTTGCAAAGTGGCTGTGAGTTTCTTCTCACTTCCCGGCCTTGTTTCGAAATCATTTATCTTTACTCTTTCTCTTTTCCGCTAGGATCGAACAATCATTCATCCACGATTAGCGGCTGATTCGGTTGTAATGTACATCCTCAGTTTAGCTGTCACATCACGGTATCGCAAATGTGGCATTGGTAGGTTTGTCTTGTACTTTCTACAACTCACATAGTCTTTTTAAATTGCTAATTGATGCTCCTTACTGGTTAATTATGCATTGGCTATTGAATGGGGTTATCAATTTGGTTTTAAGTTATTTTATGTGTACATTAGCTATGAAATCTCCTGTATGAACTTGCTGCTCTTTAATGTGGCTTTTATTCATGCAAATCATAATTTCTTTTTGATCGCGGACAATAATGAGCTCTTTAAATTATGGGCACGCTTATTTTTGTCCCCTTCACAACGTCACCGACAGCAATAAAACAGGTTTAAGTAGGGTGAAATAAAGTGCTGAGTGTTAGGAATTGCATGGTCATACAGCTTTTTATCTATCCACCCGCTTCGGTGCTCGAATGTGGACTGTTATGATGCTGCAGAAGCTCTAAATGCGTCTTCAATTCTCACATAATTTACCAGCACTACTAGGATTGTTAGATGCCAGCTTCCGTTTTTATGTTGGCAAACTTGACTCCTGAGTTCAACAATTATTGTCATTTCTACGAATTTCTGGATAGGTGTTAAAGAACACGCATGGAAAAGAGACCTGTAATCTAATACTCTACTAGAAGGAAGCACTGAATGACTCGCATTGGAACTTGCGACTACAGCTGCGTAATAACTGATACGGAGTAAAATTCGGACTATTAGTCCACATTCGGCTTTGGTGTTGGGTCTTGTAAAGTGTTCCTTCTCTACACCTAGGGTCTCTTCTCCTCTCCGTGATTCTTAATCACGCAAAAAGGCAAAGGCACTTTTCAAGCTGCGCCGCCGCTGTCAATAGCACCTTGCAGTATCAGCCACTCCTCGAATCCGATGACCCTGTATGTCAGTGAGATTGGCTTCAGAATATTGTCCCACTTTGAGTGCATTAAATAGACACATTTTGGCAACTTATCCCAACAGATGTCATCAGCGCTTCAGTTAAGTCCACATCAGGTCATGTTTGTTCGATGGTTGTGGCAACAACACCGAACCTACTTGCCCTGTCGTGCGGTCTATCTACACACCGAGTGCACCAATCGCGTCGCACTGTGTTTCTATCGACACCGAGGCTTCAGTCTACATCATCTCGTACCGCGGTGCTATCTCATCGAGGGTCGCGTTGCTGACGGCATTTGCTGTGTGTTTTACTGCAACGGTGGCTACCCACAGCGCTCTTTTACGTATCCTTGCCATTTACTGTTCTGTAGCACCACTTTTTTTTTCTAAAATTCTCTGTTGTATTGTTCATAGAATCTTTGGTTGCCTGTAAAACTCATTCGGAATCTAGTCTTTAGTTGACTTAAACATTTAACAACAGGACCCGCGATCCTGCTGCTATTAATGCATGTAACGGGCTGGATGCTGTTTCATTTAGAGGGTCTTGTAGGGATTCTCAGCTGCTTTACTTAGAAACTTTCGCCTCTCCGATGTTAGCGGTTACTTTTGTTAAACAAGTTCCCTAACTCGACTGCATGAATAGGCAAGAATGTCTTCATTGGCTACGCCAACACTTTTGTGCCACACGCACGGCCACAGTAACTCTAATCGGTCAGGTGGCTTTGCGCCTGAAGGGAGCCATCTCAGCTCTTTTTGGGCCCTGCTTCTCGCATCAGAGCAGTTTTTTCAAGGTCTCGAGGATTCTACCCTGGCAACACTCTCCGTCCCCATCGCCTGCCCCGGATACCACCACCACCACCACCACTTCCTTTCTCACTCATTCGCTTTGAAGTCACCGCTCTCCGTCTTCCTGTACAGCTCAAATTACTGATTTTTGTGATATAAGTCGCATCCACTTATTTTTGTGCGTATGACGGCGCGACCCGCGTCCACTTATTCAGTTTTTTTCAAGACAAAGTGTTGCAGTTCACTCGCTACTCCCACTATTTGAGTAGTTGCGCTGAGACCATAGGTCGGGTGTTACCTGATTATAAGCACTTGTTTTTATGTCTCCATACACTCTTTTAAAATGAATTCCTCGCTGTAGTTTTGGGTTGCACTGTTTTCTAATAGCAACTCCTTGCCCTAAGCAATTTATTTAATGCAACTAGGCGTTGGTAGAACCAACTTCAATGACCTCAAGTTATCGCATGCAGTCATGGTTCCCCATATGAGCAAGTTTCCTATAGCAGCGGCTGGGTAAAGAAGTACGGTCGCTGCAAAACACCAGCGTCGTGGTTGTTGTGAAGTGATTTCAAATCCAACAGAGACCTCAGGGTTTAAGGACTTCAAACTGCACTTGGTGGTTCATATATCGTCTCGCCTCGTTCCATTTCGATACAGTTTTGGAAGTTGTGAACTTTGAGGCATTGCATTTAGGTGGAAATTACTCGGGGCTAGGTTAGTGCGGTTGTGGTGATACTTCTCAGCTGAATCACTTTAGGGTGCATATAGTGAGATGAGAAGCGTGAATTTGTGCTTTGTACGTTGGCAATCAAATTCGGTTGATTCTTCCTCAGGTGACTGCATTCACTGCTCCCAGCGGGCAGACTCGGGTCCTGTGCGATTTCACTCCGTGCCATGCGTTGATCTAGTGGTCAGAATCAGACGTTCCAGGAGATGGACTCGTGTTCACAGCACTGGATAACTGCTTTGTTGGCGGGCGCAGTCACCGTCACTGACGCACGATCGTGCGGGCGTATCAGTCCGTCGAAAATGCCTAGCATTTGATCGAGATGTGCACTCTACTTATTTTCCTGCAAGTAGTATTCGAATATTTTGTGTTAAAAATTAAATACACCCCTTGTGTCCCATAGGATGGGTAAAAGGGCAGTAAATGCTTGTCATAAGTCATTTCTGCCCGTCTTAAGGGTCAACACAACTACTAATGGATGAAAATGTTTTTAGATCTTAGAAACTGTTGCAAATAATGTAAATACGGGAATTGCACAACAATCTGAGGCTGTCCAATGAGTTGCGGTGGTGGTCGGGTACATTTTGTCCGGTCAATGCCTCACTTAACTCCGTGGAATTATGGAATCCAACGATTGTAAAGGTTTGGTGGTTGGAAGAGACGGAAAAATACAACCAGTGGATGATTTGCTACAGGCACTGACCGATCCACACATTGGTGCGTTTATTTAGAGACACGCTTATAACGAAAGCTTGGGGGGAGGAGGACGGAAATCTCTTTCATGGAAATTGTACGATATAGAGGGATAACAATCTACCATGCGCATCTCCTCTGGAGTGACGTTCGTGGTGCTTCCGGTGGTTGTATGTCTCTTCGAGGAATGTAATCAACCGCAAGAAGAGAATGAAATCCCCATGGTGAGTATTGAGAAACCAGGAGGTTTCACCAGTAGTGTTGACAGTCGAACAAGTGTGATGTCATTTGACAATTGACCTGAAGAAGGTGTCAAAAGTCGCCAAAAGTGCAGCCAATCACGTCAGCACGTTAAAGACGAGTATCCAACCAATAGGATTAAAACTGCCATCCCTTTTGGAGTAAGTTTGTTCGCCCAAATAGACTTCCACGCCACCTCAAACGGCGTAATCCGAGATGTCAAACTTCAGCCAAATCCAACGCCACCAACACTTCTACTATATTTTGGGAATCTGGAAAAGCGTGCACAGCTGAAAGCAAAAGTTCCTCCAAGGTTGCAGAATACAAGGCACTTCGCGACATGGAATTCACACTCATTTTCAACTCAATCCCCTACGTCGGCACATACTCATTTAACTCAGAGCCTCACCAACATCCATAAGACTTTGGCTTGCAAAGACTTGCCGGTATAGCCTACTTCGCTTCAAAGCTGGTCATCATCAGCCTTAACATGCCTGCAGCCGGTTTGATTGCGGGGCAAAGTAGCGCACAGGGCTTCTTGAAACACTAACCCCATTCGGGTGTCTCACTGTTGAGCAGAAGAGCATTCTTTCACCACTTTTGTCTGGCACCGTGAAAGCTTGTGCGTGCGGCCTCCGCACGAACAGGAGCAAGTAAATCGGATTCCAACTCGGGTGTACCTCTACCTGTGGTGGTGACGGAGAAGCCAACTTTTGACCGCCGATTGCCCTTTCAACAAGTTGTTCTGAGGAAAATCAACGAGTAGTAAACATCCACATGGTTATGCGAGTAATTGGAACACTTTAATTGTCATCATGTAGCCGGTGTTGACTAATTCCTAGGCTTTTCAAAGTCAGAGCACCAACTACATCAAGAGTGATTTCTTTCGGACTGAGCGTCCAGCAAATGCCAATTTTACTGCCTCACAACCATGGAAGCTGCTTGATTGCTCACCTGCAGCATCACGTCGGGGTACGCCCGTAGATCTGTTGATCAGTCCAGGGGACGTAATTCCATTGGTCCCCAATGCCGACAGGCCACACCCAGATGCTTACTTCAAGCAAACCGCTATCCCGACTTTACAAAACAAGGTAGTTGCTCATTTTTTATTGCCATGAGCAAATCTAACCAATAAAAAGTATAGAAGCGGCCATACGAAAAAGGTGGTATGAAAGTTTAAAATCGCGATGGGCAAAAAAGGCCAATTAAAAAAGCACGGGTCCATGCTGGTGACTGTGGTTTTAGGTACTCGGAAGGGAAAAGGTATGAAGATGGTACGATAAAAAGAATTCGACGGAATTTCAAAAGAAGGCTCGAGCCCGAGCCAAGAAAAATGCTGTGCCAAGGGCAAGGATCAGGAAGGTCAAGGAGGACAAAAGGGGCTTGATGCTCTCAATTCGTGCAATAGCGCCTCCGATGGGTGTAAGACGACGCTGAAATGAAGAGGATTCCAATAACCACTTTTCCTTGGTTTTACATCCACCCACACGTGCCCCCCACACCAGCAAGTCCATCAAAGCCACAAATGACAAACGTCAATTATGAAGATGTCCTAAACATAAGAAATACGCGAAGAAATGAACCTTCCACTGCTCTCGGGACCCAAAGAAGTTGGAGTGAGAAGTAAGCACCATGCGAGAGTCGAAATTACATACTACCCTAGTAAAGCTACACAAATAACATTTCACACCACATGTTTCTGACTTTGGGCAAATGGTTCCACAAGCAGTGACTAGCCCGTAAAATTCACTCGAATATGGGAAATAAAACGATGTGTACACCCGAATCAACTGGGATTGCTGGCTTTGTGATCGCCTCGATTGAAAATCAGCATATGACAAGCAGTCCTGGCCCATGAATACGACCACATCGTAATGATCGAAAAAGCAGAAGTGACCACATAGACTTTAGAGAAAAACTTAAGGGCTTCTTCATACCCAACCGCCGTGGTCAGCTATCCACTGGAAGATTCGAGCAGTGCAGATATCCTTGAGAGCATTGGCAACTATGGAAGCGAGGTTGGCAAGACCTTGCGCCAGACGTTCCGCCGCGTAGCGCAGAAAGAACCGAACGACGAAGTAAAAGAAGACGAGGATTCGACCCCAGTTTAATTGAGCTTCCTTAAAAATGCTGAGTGCAGCAGAATTAGTAAAAAAGCGCCAAAAAAGGGAAGAGGGGTAGTCGAGGATAGAAGAGGAGCACTCACTACTCGGCAATTTTGCGAAGTGTCTCGGTTGGAGATTGGATGACCCGAAGACTGGCCAGAAGTTTGTCAATCTCTTCTCCGCAATGCTGTTCAATGGTATCACCCAGTGAGATCAACCGATCAACCACTTGGCGCTCTATACTGGAATGCAAAAAGCGTTTGATTCATGAAGGTATACACTGTTACGGCTGAAAATCGGAGACATCTATTTGCTATTCCCACACGACATATCGTCGTAGTTTCGATGGCCAACATAAAAGGTAAGAGCCCAGACGTCCCAAATGAGACGAACGTGGTGGTAGCTGCTTTAATTAGGCATGCTACTACGCGGTAAATCGTGTCCACCTCCATGCTGAACACGCATGTGTTTAGATAGATGGGCGTGCGAGGAGTTCTGATAGTGCTACTAATGCTACGAGGAACATTCGAAAGGATGCTGCCGTGACGGGACTGTACGCAAGTGTCTTCTATCACGAGTACTGACAGCTGGTGCCAGTCCACACACCGTTAATCAAGATGCCATGTGACAACACGCACGAGCAGCCAGTGGTGATGAAGTTCCTTGCAAGTTGCAAAACCACGGAAATCCAACTGTACAGACACCTTCAAAAGCGCTAAGCCACAGGGATGGGACGACTGACCATAGTAACTCCAAACGGTATGCCCCATTACTAACAGTCGACACCCAATTAGTTGACCAATGCAAACACCATCCATTGAGGTATTAATGATCTTGACGAATGCGCAAACATCCTCACTTACAGAGGGCTTCAAGAGGAGTACGGATCGGTGAAAGGACGCTCACCCACTCAACAGAAAGAAAACCGAATGATATCAGTGTTTCATGGGCACCAGTACGACAGTGACAACCCTGACCGTAATGATAGCGTCCTCGGAAGTCTCGATTTAACTTGAACAGCCTCAATAACCCCTTCATTATTAATGATAGTAATAGAGGTGCAGGATCCACACCAGAAAAATTTACAACACCGTCTTTAGAGAGTGGAAAAAAGTCGAAAAAATCAATGTCAAGAGACTTACTCGGTTAGCTCCAAATGCTGTATAATTTCATCAATCTTATCGTCATCACTAAAACCACCATTCATAATTGCATTGTCCACCGGGAAGGTAAGTTGATCACCGTAGTCATTATGATCACTGCCAGGCACAGAAGTGACAATGGTAGAACCAGGAGCAGATTGGACATCAGGTGAGAGGACCACTTGTGCATCCGCCTGAGCGTAAACAGTAGCTCCGCCAGCAGTTTGCTTAAACTTTACCATAAAAAACGTTCTAAAAATCCTGTTGGAAGAATCGTATACATCGTGGACATCTGTCCGTTCCTCAGCGTTTGGGATCTGAGTGAAGAGGAGGAGAATACAAAGGAATAAATTTTTCGAAGAATACATCCGCTCTGCTTTACAATGTCTCCAGTGGAACAGAGTTATTAATATGTTCGCTTCTAAGGTTCTAGTGGAAAATCGCCCACCACGGCCCGATTGTTTTACTGTTCCAATATGACACCAACATCCAATTGTCCACTGCTATATTTTATGGCTTCTTCCAGCAGCTTGGTTCAATCATTTGCCATAAATAAATGAAAAATAAGTGTCACATATCCGTATTGCTAAAATCGGATAGGGAAATTGTAATTCATCTAAAGGCAACGGTATTGGTAAACGCGTTAGGCATTCGCTAATATCTTAAATGATTCTCCAACGCCAAAGCAGTCACATACTCGCAAGACGACCTCGAGACTGTTGATGCTCTCGGTGGTAGTGATGCACTGAGATCGTTGCGCTGAGGTGGACGGCAGGGCGTCACCGCCCCCGTCAATAGACGCGCATTCACAACCCGACCAAGAACCTGAATTTCTGCTGCCTGCCTGCAAGGGGAGCGTGTAACCATTGGCGAATTTGTTAACCAATCGAATCTACTAACTGCGCGGTATACTGAAAGCGGCGTTTGGAAAAGAATGCAAAGAAAAGTTGCATAAAATAGCAAATCCAAGCAGAACTTAACAAACTGATAGGGCATTACGGAAACAATGGAAACTTACTGCCTTAGTAAAATTTTCACCGGACATTGGCGCCTAGAATAAATTACACAAATTTTGGCATGTAAGGGCAGGATTATTGTTATTGATAACAATGAAAAAGTCGAAGCAGATAAGCGGTAATGACAAAGATAAACGTGGCTACTGAAAAAGATCATGCAGTTGGAGAATTGGGTTCTGAATGCAAATCAATATTCAGACCAGAACCTTCGCGACAGCAGAACAACGCAAAAGTCAAAGCAACCTCGAAGAAAATATCAGATGCCTAGAATGGAGGAACAATAAGACGCCTCAATGTCATGGCACTAACCTACGAAATGCTAACGTAGGAGAAATTACTAGGGTTTCGGGAAGACATATTCGTACACTAGCTGCATATACATGGCAATAAATCCGGTGCAAAGCAGTTCAAAGCCTGTAAAGAATAAAACTTGGTGGAAACGAATGGAACGCCTCTAATATGTGGAAATTCGACAATAATGCGAAACATCCCTATAAACCCAAATGGGTTCAAAAACACCAAAACAACCTTATGCAACACAATCTCATCTATACCCACAAAACGAATCAGCATTTCCTTTAAAATACATCGATGCATCAAACAAAACTAACGTCCAACCTACGCACAACACACCACAAAGATACAAGAGCCGATATTTGCGTCCGAATCAGGCGCTTTTTAAAGCAATCGCCTGAAATTATGCGATTTAAATACTAAAACAAACTAGGCAATTAGTGCCTTTGATTAGAATTGTGCCCAAATAAAAACATTTACTAGCATTCAAAGTAAAATGCCTAAATCGATAAAAATAAATTAGGCAATTTAAAAGTAACTCAGCATATGCTTAGCATTCCTGTCTCCAATTTAATGAGAATGAATGATCCAAAACAGTTCCTAATTAATCCCCTTTCTTCCGACCCTTTAAATTTAACTAATCGAATAATTTTTTAATTGTATCAAAAAATCTTTTTCTGATCTGTATAACTGGTTATCTGAAATTTTAGGAAGAAGGTTTTTATTAAATTAACGTACCAAAACACTAAGCAACCCCCCTGCCTTGAAAAACCCAGTCCTTTGCCAACTTTTTTTTAATATTCTGTTCTAAAATTAGGCACCCGGTTGACTGTGCGTTTAACAATATAATGCCAAGTATTCAAAGCACCATTAAAGAGCATTGCATCCATTTGTTTTACATGTTTTGAGAAGTTTGATTCCAGGTTAGTCTTGTTCAGTATCACTAAAATTAAGAAAAAATAACAAGTTATGAGAGCATGCAAAATTAACAAAATGATCACTAAGCTACCTTTTACTTAACTTCCTTAAAAAAGCCCCTTCTGGACTGGCTTTAAAGTCGGTCGGAGAATCTGTGCATGAGCATTAACACGGAACAGTAATTCGGTACTCCCTTTTAAATCACGGTCAGCTGCTCTAGTTAGTTAATGTTTATGGGTTATACTTTGGCTTGGCAGCAAATTCTACCAGTCAGGCCTCTAGCCCCTCGGCCCTTCCCTCCGTTAGCGGCAAATAATCTTCCGTGATGGTGAGACCTACTAAAAATTCAAGCATGACTTGCATTCCTACAGTACTGTTAAATATTATTCGAGCTGCACATAGGCAGTTAACTTACTTAACGCACCTTCGTGCTTGAGGCACTTCACTCCGATTCTGCATCTGCGCCTCGATTCGCGACATCAGTTTGCGTTGCATATCCATTTTTGCCTTGTCAACGCTAAAAGTAAATGCATTCCAGATTCGGGGCAATGAGAGGCGGATTCGTGTGAGGACTAACAAAAGTAAGGCTTTAGCTACTCAAAGCCATGAGTGTTTAAATGATTACTCAGTAACATATACTTTGCTGGATATCAAATGGCGAGCGAATGGAGCGTTATAAAAGTGAAGGAGAACAGACGACCGACGCTACTCACTTGTGTTCAACTTCATCCTGCCTGGAGAGAATAGCCTGCGCGTGATTTCGCTCCGTATCCTCTTTCACAGCCATGGCGGCCATCCTGCGCTCATTCAACCGCTTCTGTAGCCTGTCCCGCCCGCTTTCAATCAAGCGATCGTGACTCATCAATCTGTCCATTATTTCATCCTACCAAGAGGCGAACAATGCAGCATAAATTTACCATTTGACTTAACCAACCCTAATCGAGTGGTACTTCCTGATGATTGCCTAATCCTTCTAAAAGTCAGTAATAAAGTTACTTCCCCACTACCCACAAAATTTGATCCTCATAAAAAGACTGGTTTTGTTAGATGTCTTAGCCAAAAGCTTCTCTCACCTTCATCTCCTTCAATTCAGCAGCAATCTCTTCGTTGTCTGACCCAACCCCGCTTTCCATGTCATCTAGACTGCTCGAAAATTGTTTTCTGGTTCTGGCGGTTAGAGGCGGCCGCCGAATAGCAGAACTGCTTGCACTTCTACAAGGAAGGGTCACGGCAAAATTCCACTTATAGTGTGTGATACTACTACTGCCAGGACTTAAGTAGCAATCCCTTACGCTGGAGTGGCAGGTCTAGCATACGTTTTGAGGGCAGCGCTTGCCTCCAGAACCCTTTTTTGAAAATCCAGCTGGCTAAAAACACAAGAGAGGTAAAATAAACAACTAATTTTTAGCTTAGGCAGCCTACAAGTAAGAGGCAAACGTGGGGAAACCAGTAAAATTGGTCCATTCATTGACTACTGAAGCGACTAGCCAAGTCAAACAACAAACGCACTGAAGGTATTTTGCAATGGCTGCCGATTCGGCAGCTTGAACCTTCTGAGTGATTTCAGGATTCACTACCACCTTTGTAGCCGTGTATTTATTCACCATGGATTTCAGCATTCCTTCCAAATCCGGTTTCTCCAAATCGGCCAACTCTGAAGTCTCTGGGGCTAAAACAACCAATAAAATAGAAGCCTCTCGTATGTTAGAAATCATGCCTAATGAATAACGAATGTGAGGTACGGAATAAAAGGCTATTTTGTTTAAATTTAACATCTGTCAACGCCAGTTCTTCAGTTTCCGCTAGATCTAGTCCTTCGTCGTTTGTATTATGGCCTTAGATCCATTCTCGATATCCTTTTGCAGTCATGAGACTTATTATAGCTTTAGGGGTAATTCGTAGGGCCGAGTAAATAAACTCTGGATTTCGTGATTAGGACACCAAAAATACACGCCTTAGCAGAAAGGTTAAAGATGAAGGAAGAATAGACCTGTGAAGGACCACAACAGAGGGTCTGTCAACGTCACTTCCATTTTTGGCAGCAACAACCAAAGTGATGCCAGACTTGAGTGCTGTAAAATCGCTTACTATGGTGCAGTCAATGGCACCTTTACGTAAGCGAGTGCTAAGTTCTCGACGGCCCTGGCAAATGGATGGAACCCAAACCAACATGGGGACAAGGTGGTGAGGCGAGATTTACACAAGCCATTAAAAGTGTGAAGTTACTTTAAGAAGTCGATCAAATTTAAGTCACATAGGACAGTCTAGCCTGGTGCAGTGTAAAGACGACAATTTTCCCCACATGGGACTATCGAAGGAGGCATAAATGTCGATCCCTCGAAATCCACTGCTGGAAAAGTCAACACTTGACCGAAGGCGGCCAAGAAGAGCACTGCTGAGGTGGAGAACAGAGAGGTAGAAAAACTTGGATTTCCTACTTGATGACATGATGCGCTGCCCATGTTCACAGCGCCTCAGTCACTCGAAACGTGAAGTATGGAACTTTTTTATACTGTTATGCCTTATTACATCTTCAAGAATTACTTGGCACTCCACTCCCTGTTTGAACTCACCTCTGACAGATTGGTTGATGCTTTTTTTGCTGCTGTTGCTGTCAAATATGGAGGTTATTTGACCCAACTCCTGTTGAAAGGAGGCCAGGGTTTGAATGAAGTCTTTGGACTCGGTTTCAAAGATCTCATCATTCTTACGCAAGAAATCAATCTGCAAATGCGACAACCAAGAAAGCCAAGTACAATTAGCACACCCTCTGGTAATTCTAGGGAAAAATTGACATTGCATCTGTTTTAAGGGGACTCTGATTATCCGAAACTTATTTCCACAAAATAAGAAATGGAATAATCTAAATGGCTAGTGGTGGCAGGTGGGGACTGCCGTCTACTACGTCCAATCGGTGCGACTGTCGTAAGCTAGTCCTGTCTGGCCGGTCGCTTCCAACCTCTAGCCAGCGGCCCAGTCGTTTATTATCCTGTGGACATTAGGTCAGCTAGTGGAAAACCCAATCAAGATGTAGCGGTGAGGACAGACACCCACTAATCCACTATTGTACACTAGGTATCAAGACAGCATTCTCCCTTTAATCAGTGCTGAAGGCGGACCCAGTTCTACCATTACCAGCTCTTGTCATCGAGGCTACTTTTCAGGTGTCAGTGGGTACACAACTGGAGCCGAGTGTCATCTGAAGGAGAAGAAGGAAGTGTAGTCCTGAATACCCCTACCTGTAAAATCACCTTCCATCATCGCACGTTCTACGGTTGAGGGAAGCCCGACTTACCCGAATCTGAGGCGGGGCATTTACAAATTGGTCCCTTATTTGGTTGGCTAGGTGGTTTGCTCGACGTCTGCTCATAACCCAGTTGATGTCCGTTGACTCTCAAACCGTCTCCTCTAACACCTATATGCCATTCAAACAATAGCATCTTCTGTTGTCATGGCAATCCTTACATGTACAGAAAATAACCCCCTTGGTCGGCATCAAGACATTGAGCAAATTTACGGGATATGTTTATAGCCTAGGATCGGGCGTTTTGGATTCGGCCCTACCACAAATCTACTTTGCCGGAATCCTTTTTGTTTTCAGTTAGCTTCCTACAATTCCGACCTGTTATTGGTTGAGAAGAGAAAAGAAATAATTTAAATTGTCATAAATCGATGAGTAGTTAAAAAAGTATGTCTGTAAAGTGCTTGCTGCTTCTGCAGTACGTCTGTCTGGCCGCCTGCCTCCACATAAAAGATCTAGAGGATTCCGGAGACATTACACACTGCGAAAACTACAAACGCTCCCAGATTGTCGTTCTTGAAGACACCACCAGGAGGAGTCTTCGAATTAACGTCACAGTACCACCACCTCAGATTCAAATCCGTCAGGCCTTCCGCGGCGAACGCGTTGCACTGCGCTGCTTCCATACTCAAAGGGGCTCCAAGTATGCTTGGTACCTCAGTGCTACAGCTCCGGTTGGTTCTAGTGTTCTAGCCAGCGATCTAGTTCCCCTTCCTATCAACAGCTGTTTCCAGCGTCGCTTTTATAGCCACAAGGCATTCGGTGTGGAGGTGGTGGAGGTTGTGGCTCAAACCGGAACCGTCGGCTACTTTACCTGTGCTGAAAATGTTGGTGAGAGTCAGTGGATTCAACGTGGAGTCTTCCTCATCCTTCTCTACCAACAATCAACCGTTGTTCTTCAGGTGGATCTTGCTGCCACTTCTTATGTCAGTTGTGAAGCGGCCTCGAATCCACTGTCTTTCGCAAAGATCTCCTTCGGTAGATACGGTGTTCCGCAGACCATAACAGCGGCAGATCCTGAGTGTGTACAAGAATCAAAGACCTGGAGTTGCATCAAGTTCATAGGACAATGGGATGAGTATGAATGGAAAAGGAAACAACTGGAAAGAACAACTTCAGGATTCATTCACACTGGTCCGCTTGATCGGACAGTACGGTTGCGATTCGAACAGATTCAAGTGGGTTTTCGGTTAGATTTCGTCCACTTCAGCAGCGAGAATGACTACCATCCAAAAACGTTAAACAGTTTTGAGATGACACAGGAGAGCCTTTGTGTTGAAGCTCATCAAGTCGGCAGGCGATTTAATTGGATGGTGCTGGAGGTGTATCTGGGCTATGCTGAGTTGACCGGTGGATTTCGCATACCTTTCAAAGAAGCATTCTCCCCGGGTGACCTTGACATTCTTGATGGTTTGCAAGTTCACCAGAGCGGGGGAGGCGTGAGTTTTTCCTCTGTGTTCATTTCATGACTGCATTGGTTGCAGAACTCACAACTCGCTTATGATTAGATAATGACAAACCAAATTCCCGAAATTTAAATTAAAGTTAATAAAACCCTTAAAATTTTTCCCCAATCTTTTATCAAGCACTTGTAGAGAAAACCGAGAGACCGTAAGTGTGGCCAGTAGTATACGACCACCGAGAAAAAGCATTGAAGACGGGGTAGAAGGAGCTAGTCGACAATTCTTTTCTTCAAATGCTACTATTTCGCTTCATTTTGATTGTCATAGCAACACATTTCAGCGTGTCCCAACTTTTATGGCATCGTTTTAAACCAGAGTTTAATTACTGGACAAGGAAAGTGTGAACAGATAAGAGTAACGAAATTTTCCAACTTCTCACATAAACAAAATGCCTTTCTGGTGGTTTGAGGCATCACTCTGACCGTGGCATCTAGTGTCATTTAAAATAATGACTATTTATACGCCATTTTGCAGTCTTTCAGGACAGTATTCCTGGAGGAGGCGTTGGATCCCCAGGCCGTTCTAGACCGTGCACCACTGGTTCCTTACGAGGACGCATCACCAGCACCACCACTAAGACATTGGCGATCACATCCATGCGGACCTCCGCTGACAGCAATTGGGCACGGCTTTGTGTCAACCGTGCACAACCAACTTTGCACGCAAAAAGCGACTACCTTCACCACCGTTCTGATTGGTGACGTAGCAAAGGTGCCTCGTGGCAGTGGCCTATCAATCATCGTGAAGGTGAACTCGTTTTTAATGAATCGACAAACTTTAGAAGACTTCTATCTCCTTCGGTTGATAGGACGGTTGGTCAGGGTTAAAAAATCGACCCAACCGAAGGTGGAAATCGCGGAGCTGCTGACAATTAGATGGAACAGTAGTGAAATGTTCGTCTTGCGCCTTAAAAAACTTTTTATTTTGCTGCAAAGGAGCATTAAATTTTTTAAACATTCGTATTATAAGCATCCTTGAAAATTTTTTCAGGTACACATTACTTTTAACAAAAATTACTATATCCAAACCTAATTAAATCTTGTTAGTGATAAAAAGTAACTTTAGTCAATTATAAGTGAGGTTATCATTTCCATTTTTGACAAGTCTAAAGCTCCAAAAAACATTACTGGAAGCTTTCCTAATAACCATAAAACTCTTCGACTTACAGCACAACTCCTACTTGCTATTTTTCAGTAGGCTGTTTTTTACCTTCTGCTTCAGCAGCCCGTTCAATAGAAAGCTTTGCTTGAATATTTAAAGCCCTAATCCCCATATTTGGTAAAGATGCCGTTTCAATCAATAAGTGACGAATTTAGAGTTGCAAGACCATCATCTTGCCTCTAAAAGCAATTTTGAATTGCAAAAACATCATAAATATTCACCCCGTCAGTTAAGCAGAAACCTTTCCAAGCTTGCACTGGTAAGATTTGAGTTTTTGGTTTGGCTTAAGGACCGTTTTTTTTCAGAGCCAAAACGACAACTACTTTGTGTGTCTTATTTTTTCTGTTTAGTCAGTGCACTACCTATGAGGGCAACCTTGCATATCACATAAATTCGACCTTGAGAATCCCTTCCCTCGAAGAAAAAAAAATCATCGAGAGCAGCTTGACAATGCAGATAAGTGAGGGCGGTACATCTTTGTCGCTAAGTTTTACAGCTGGGAAGGACAATTCGTCACAATTTATCGGACATTTTACATTGGCAACCGCTATGGACAACGGCCTCGAATTGGTCACGGAGGTAATAACTTCTACCGCAGCCCTGACAAGATCCAGCATTCCCCGGGCTCAGATTGTTAAATAGGCAAACCGGAAATTGCCATTTCTTTTAACATCTAGTTTGTTAGAAAGTAGTTGTGTTAAACGATTACCACAGCCTAAAATGTGATCGGAGGAGCGAATTTTTCGTGGGCGCTGCGGATCTCCTTGACTTGATGCCTGCCTCGGCTACCTGACTAGCCGGCGGAGAACAACGACACCATTATAATTTCTTGACGATTTGATTACCGTAGAATAGGGCCACTGATGTCAAGGCATTAGCAGTCGGTCAATGAATTGCATTAACTTTTATTTAAGGTACCTCCTCAAGGCGCCTGTATCGATTGCTTTGTAAGCCTTTACGTTGATCGCAGGGGCGCAGCCTCCATCCCCCTTAAGTGGCCAATGAGCAGGAAGTCCGCTCCTCCCCTTCGACCAATTAACAATCGAGTTGCGCCAATTCGGCCAATGGTCGGGAATCGACTTCATTTCACAGCTTTTCGCACTTTTACACTCAGCTGGAATGAATCCGACCTAACCGACTCGAGAGAGGATCTTCGTGATTGGTTTGAGAGAATGGAATTCAAAACAGCCTCGGAGAATGTGTCTGTAGGTCATTGGTGTCAATATTAAAAGTTCACTCGAAATATACTTTTCATAACTTTTTATCAACTTAGATCATTTATAAAAACTCATGGCCAGTGTGCGCTGAGGGACAACACTTGGCCATAGCGAACCCACCTTTTTGTGTGCCCTGTCCCCCCGGCACTAAGGCAACAGTCTACAAAGCCATTGGTAAGGCCACGTATGTCCCCGAAAGCAAAAAAGTTGACTTAAACACTCCTCACGCAAACCTCTGTGACCTCTGCCCCAAAGGATCCTACCAACCAGAGCCCGGTCAGACTAAGTGCATCGACTGCTCTACGAGTTATGTAAGGGTCCACTGATACAAAGGATTTATTTTCCCCCACCAAAAAGAGATGTTGGTGGTAGCTCCTAAATCTCACTGATATAAGTAGTCTGTAAAAAATTTCTGCTCTTTAGAACCCATATTTTTGTGCGGAAGCACCTCCAACTCCGATAACTTTAGGAGGTTCGGCAGAAGATACCATCCCTCCACCAGAGACGGGTCAGTCCACAATACAGCTCCGAAGAACCAACACAATTAGTACAGCCGGAGTCCTCTTCATCTGCCTCTGCATGATCGGTCTGTTGGTCTGCATTGTCTACTTCTATCTGGAAGCCATCGGCTTTATGCTTGTGATGATAGCTCGAGCTCCCTACACAGAACGGACAGTTCAAAAGAAGCGACCTTCCCAAATCTGCGAGCTCGAGATCCTTCGACTTCAACAACTCTACCCTGACATCGATCTTCACGAGCTGGCGAGACAGGAGCTCTGTCGAGCCGAGATCCTGGGTCTTCGCCTTCTCCATCCCGAGATCGACTGGGATAAAATTGTCTGCGAAGCTGAAGTACGTCGCCTTCACGACAATTATCCTTTCATTCGTTGGGAGAAGATTCTACGCACAGAGCTACCCTACGTTCTCCGCGCCAAATATCCTTTCATAAACTGGAGTCAAATTGCCGCTGAGGACGCTTGTGGAAGAGAGATCGACCGTTTGAGAGCAGAGAACCCTGAGATGGATTGGACTACAGTACTGTGTGAGGCAAGGATTGAAAGTCTCCAGAGAAAGTTCCCCTGTCTCAATTGGAGTGGTATTGTGTGTGAAGAACGAATTCGAAGACTGCGCTCCGCCTATCCGGATGTCGATTTCGACCAACTGGTCCGAGATGAGTTGTGCGAGGCGGAGATGGAACAATTGAAGCGACAACATCCCGAAATTGACTGGCAGGCAATTGTGTGTGCGGAGCGGGCCTTGTGGCTGAAGGCTCGGCACCCAATGGTGCGTTGGGAGAACATTGTGAGCGAGGAGAAGGTTGTCAGACTAAGAAATCTCTACCCGTGCATTGACTGGTCCAACGTAATTCGCAATAACTTGTGTGAAAAAGAGATCGAAAGTCTTAAAAAGCGATTTCCACGACTAGACTGGGAGAGCATTGTACGCGGTGGGGATGCAAGCATGAAGCGATTGTCAAAAACAGTGGCAATCGAACGATTGAATATGCGATTTTCGGATGTCACCTGGGAGAATGTAATCACAGAGGACTTGAGTGACTGTGCGATCAAACGTTGGAGGAGAGAATATCCCTATTTCGACTGGAATGCCATCACGACGGCCATATTTCAACCCATCACTCTAAAATCGGTTAATTTTAAGAATCCGGAGGTGTGCAAGAGCTTTAGAGAACACGTAACGTGTCTAGAAGAACTCTATCCCTGCGTAGATTGGCGCTACTTCGTGGAGAAGAAATATGCATCACCCTACATCAACTGGGACTACATCATAAACTGCGAAGAAGGCGAATCCATGCAGGAGGGAGAAAAGCTTGACTCCGCGATTATTGATCGACTCAAATTGCGTTACCCTTTCGTCAACTGGAGCGCCTTCCAAAACATCGGCGTGGAGAAGATGAGACGTGAGCATCCATACATTCACTGGACCGTCGTCCTGGAAGAGAACGACCTTTGTGAAGGTGAAACGTTTGGCCAAGGAAACATTGAACCTGTAACCCTTCCAGAGGTTTCACCAGTTGTTCCGAAGATGGAGAAGAGGGTAAAAGGGTCCAAGGTGACAGCAGAGCAGGAAATACTTCGATTAAGGCTCGAATATCCGCATATTAACTGGGAGAAGGTGATCGCTAAGGAGAGACGACGGAAAAGAACAGAACACGACCCCCAACGTGGGGATTGGGAACATCCTAGCATCGAAATTCCAGCTGAAACGAAGCCATCTGACAAGATTCGTGGCAGCGTTGAAATCAAAAGTGAAACAATAAACCCCTCCACTGAGGTAACGGAGATTAATCGCATGCGAAACCTCTACCCCAACATTAACTGGACCAGCGTGGTAGAACACGAGCTTCGGAAACGACGGAGAGATGGGGAGAAAAAGTAGTTGTCAGTTCTTTGTTAAAAATTGTTTTAACAATCCTTGACCTTATTTTTTTCAATTCCCAGCGGCGCGACCAATACCTCGTAACTTTGCTGCAGTGGGAAGGGGCAGCTAGGTCACGGTGTTACGGGGTACTGTTCATACCGCTTGTGCCAGTATTCTGTCAATCCTTTTAAATTTTGTCAGTAAAGCAGACGATGCTCCTTATTTAGCTTCTGAAGATGGTTTGACCGCTACATTGTAGCAGACAGTAGACCCAATATCCACAAGGCAATGTTGGATCTGACAGCGGCTGTATTTAAGGGAAAAAAAACGTGAAACATAGTTTAATGAGGGCAGGCTGCCCCGTATTTTAACGGGTTGTGCTGCTTTCGGGCGAGAGAGGCCTCGACTGCCGACCACCGGCCGGCCTCAGATAAACCAAAACCGAGACAACTGCACATAGCGCACTGAAATCTTCGAGAAATGCCTTCACTGTTGGAGGTGAACAGCCCCATCCACACCCTAGTTTTTATGGATAGTCACAGTAATGACATTTGCTCCTCTCGGCTGACCTGATTTAGCTCAAACATTCGTTATGATGACCAACGTAGAAGACAACGCGCAAAAGAAGAACCAAATCAAACACAGGTAGGTTTCCTGTGTAACTACACGGGCTCGTTCGCTTAGCTACTGCAGTGATGAGTTTTTTGCCAAACGTAAGTGGCTTAATCATCAGCAGTTAAGAAGGGCTAACTTTAACTAAAAATTTCGTTATAAGAGTAGGAAGGCAACCCAATTCCAGGTAGCACTTGCATTCTGCAATGCGTCAACGAGTGACAGAAAGACAAGCAACTGAACACCGCACGAAAAAAACGATAACACAGGTAAGTCAATAAAGATGCGCAAAAAAGAAGGAAGGAGTGGCAAGACCAAAGGTATGGAGCAGCCTAACTGTTTACTCGCCCTTCTTTTCAGCAGCCTCCCGGTTAGCCTTGACGCGTTCCTCCACCTCCAAAGGAATGTCTTTGTAACTTTAAAATAAAGGGAGATCAACGGAAAACCCGAACTTCAACACAACAACACGGAGGATTAAGAAACTTACGCCATCAGTTCGTTAAAATCACCCTTGATGAGTGCCATGGCGAGAGGGAATCCCAAGCACGTAGGAACGAGGTAGAGAAGTGCAGGCTTAACAAAAAAACGCAACAAGACTAAACTTAGAAAGAGCAATTCATTTGATTCCCTAAGTTTGAGATGAAAGAAACACTTCCTACTTGGGCATGGCGGAAGATGTACAGAACGGCGAAAGTGGCTAGCAGGCCAATGATGTAAGCCACGTAACCGGTCCAAAAATAGAGACGACTGCCATTACGATCCAACCTAGGGACGCATGAATACAGTTTTACAAAACCTACTTATTGTCAAATCTCAGGAGCAAGGCCAAGAAGATGCCGGGAACAACAATATCGCCCAGACCAAGCATTCCAACGTCCTTTGAAAAGAATCCGTTTGTCAAAAAATCTCGCGGGAAGACGACTAAACAACAAGCGAAACAAGTGAAAAGGACTTCCACAGATTCTCCCTACCTTTGACTGGTGCATCGAAATTTGTGGCAACAAAGACCATGACACCAGTTCCAAAGACCCAAAAAACATCGTAGACGAAGAGACCGCAAAGCAGAACGCACCCATTGATAGCTCTATCCAGATGAAGGTGCTCAATACCCGCGATAGCGATCGCAATACTTATGATATTATTAGCGACCCAGTGCTAGAATAGGGAATGAGATAAGCTAACAAAACTGGTTACTTTAGAGCACACATAGACTAGCCCGACCGATAGTGCGATTGCCAGGGGAACGGCATCCCTCCTCTCAAACTGAAATCGCCCCGATTCTGCAGGAGAAGGAAAAGGAGTAAAGCAGAAAGCTCGCCTTACCTTTTTGTGGTATAGGAGAGTCACTCTCCGACTCAGTGAGTATTAAAGTGAAGTGTGTGTTTCGAAGATGCCGCGGAAACAGCCGTACAGCATGTGATCTTGAAATTCAGTGTAAGCACGATGAAACCGTTTACCTGATGAGGAAGAACACAGTGTAAGTGCCGATAAGGAGGGCGTATATCGATAGCAGCATGTTGATGTGCTCAGCGGCAAATATCTAAGTTTAGCTTAGAGAAGGAGGGACCACAATACCTTAAACACCAAGAAAATGCCAAAAAGAGCACAACTAGCATAGATTGGGAGCATAACGGCTTCATCTCGACGGAAAACGGTAATATCAGTCGCATCCGGTTCAAGGGACTCCTTGAGAGCTTTAATTGATTTGTGTGCGCCAATGTATATGGGAATGATAGCCATGAGAAATAAGGCTCCCGTAGTTAGTCCAACATCAGGTGTAAATATCCTAGTGACATTACTTGCTAATGTTCCATTCAAAGCCCCGTCGGCTTGACTCATGGGTGGACGTGAAACGTGGCTGTGCCAAGGTCAAATGGGACTACACTCGCACCAAATTTCTGAGACTAAAGAACGAAGGATCATGAGTAGTAGGGCTTTATGATAGTTAAAATTATAGTTTAATTTTTCGCAAGTAAAAGTCAAAATTTACTTACATTAAAACGTAGTGCTCAGGCGAAATTTATATTTTACGTAGGGACCAGTTTCATTGTTGCAATCATTTAGCAACCGTACTCATTACAGTCTATTGCATTAAACACAATTGTACTACTCAAAAATAAATCAACACAGACTTTTTGTCGGCTTTAAATTCTAAAAAACCTTTTAGTCTACTGTTGCAATATTTTAACTAGTAAACCAACATCGAACTAACTGAATTACCATGCAGCTAATGCCCACAACACTTGCTCTTAAAAACCAAAGCTGCGTAAATGTTTTGTCTGTTTACTGCAACAATGTTAATTTAAGCCAAAGGTGCATACATTCCTACCACCGCAGTAATCATTTCCACATTTTCGGATCATTTAGTGTGCTTTTACCATTTGCTACCATCTGAAGCAATTTCCTTAATAATTGGGATTTTACCAAAGCTGCGAGATCTAATCCCACCCTGCGTCGTGGCCTTGCGACTATTGCAGCAACTTCCTAACAATTCTCTGCTTAAGTGTGCGAATTCTCCTTCTGCCGGCCAAGTCCATGGCAGTTTTATGATAAAGTAGAGTGCTCCTCCTCAACTATCATTAGGCTTGAAAAAAGGTCAATTCATGTGAAACCAGGCGATGGATAAGAAGCAGGCACATAGTACTTTCGGCAGAGTTTCCGTTGCAAAGCTAAAAAAATTAAAGTTTTACAAATACGCTTAGTAGCAATGCAGTAGTCTGTTGCAAAACACCTCTTGTATCAACTTAATATGCGATAAGCTTGGCTACTCGTTAATTTCTCTTTTTCAAGCTGAATCAAAAAATTCTTATAAATTTGAGCACACAAAATGTAGTAACTTTTAATTGTTATGCTAATAGTACAACATTTGTTCTTTTTTAGGTTTTTGAACCTATGTGACGTTTTCTGTTGAATTCGCTTTGTTCAAATTGCTGCAGCTTTCACATTCGGGCCAGTATGGCTCCCATATTACGGATTCGGGGCTTGCCCTATTCTGCAACCGCGGATGATGTAATCGATTTCTTCAAAGGTAGTATTTTCTTTTTCTCATTCCTTCCGTACGTAGATGTTACGATAAAGGGTGGTAAGCGAGGAATATCATTTCCTCAAGGACCGAATGGTCGATCCAACGGAGAAGCTTTTGTTGAGTTGGACAATGAAAACGACATTGAGCGGGCAATGGCGCACCACAAAGAACATATGGGGCGTCGATACATTGAGGGTACTTTGTTGCTATTATTAACGACTCCTCTAGTTTTCCGTTCCGATGAAGCTGAGATGAAGCGCGCCATGGGTTGGCAGCCAGATCGGAATCGGAAGGAATTCTTCGCTCGTCTTCGCGGTCTCCCTTATGACACCGAAAAGCAGGACATCTTCAGGTTCTTTAACGGTGAGTGAATAGCTTCTTTTGCATTGCCTTGCCTTGTAAGGGTAGTTTATCTCATTGTCCTCTTTTCCGGCGTACTCGATAATCTGGCATCTGTGTTTTGAGTCATTCTGAGTTCTTGTGGCTTAGAATTTCTCCCATCGAGAGGAATTCATTTTTGCTCGAAGTCGCTACAGATCACTGGGTTTGCTGATCGCTGAGCATGGGTTGCATCTCATAGTGATTGTGCTCTTTCCACTTGGGTTCCCTAAGCGTGTTGCATCGTAAAGGTGGCTTCCTAACTACTCTAAACTGCGGTGATTTGATAGTTAACACATCCGCTTCTACGGTTTTATGGGGAAATCGAACACCGCGGTTTACCAGTAGTTTGTTCGATTCAAGGGCACGTTGACCGAGTAATGGGAGAATGCAGTTATTCTCGGATCAGACACTCGGCTAGTTTGTCTGCGGTACGGTTTGGTGTAACAGGTTGTAAACTGAGGATGGGCGTGTTTTATTGTCGTCGGGCTTTGTTGCGAAATTTGGGGCGGCGAGTATGTCGACGTATGAGTCCTGGGTCGATGACATTGGTCAAGGGTGAACGTTTTCTGGTGATTTGTTTATCTAGGTGTGTGCGTGCTCTCCTGTGTGCGTTTTCTCGGCTATGCTTATTTGTCAATGTGTGCTGGTTGTATTTGGTGAATGATACGTATTGGTTTTCTATCTTATTCCTTCTCTGGACGGGTCGACCAATTTTGTGGTGATGGGGGCTGCGGTGGCGGGTGTCGTTGCGGCTGTGGTGATGGCCTTCAGATCTCACAATAGCGCCAGACGGGATCGGGCTTTTGGTCGACCATCTGGGCCGTTGCACGGGGGATGCCTATGTCCAGTTCACCTCGGCCGAAATGCTAGCTCGGGCAAAGGAGAAGCACTTGGAGAAGATAGGGCGAAGGTGATATTTTCTGTGTGTAACTCATCTCTTCCCGTACATTCTCCCTCCCCATTCCTCCATTCGCTGGCATTTCATAGTTACATGGGTTTCCGCCTTTAAGATCGTCTTGGGGGTGGTTTCCGTCGTGCATCTACCAATTTTAATTGGTTTCGAGATGAAATTGGGTCTCCTACTTTGTGGACTGCTTTTGACCGTGAGGTTTTCTTTTATCTTCAGATACATCGAAATTTTCGACGCAACTGGCATGGAGGCCTCAATGGCGATTCGGAAGCAGCACGAAATAAATAGTAGGTTCCCTTTCTTTCCTTCTCCAATGTAACCGAAATCTCTAGAGGAACGTAGTGGCGTTGGGCCCATGATGCGACACGGAGTTCGCGGTGATCGCGGTTACTATGGCAATCCACCGCCACCACCAGGACCGCCTGGTCCACCCTATCGCGGTTACGGTGGTGATGGCGGCTATGGTTACGGCGGCGGTGGTCCTCGTGGTCCACCTCGGCCTTGTCCTTACTCCCGCCCCTATGGCTACGACCAGCGCCCTCCGAGCCCTCGTGGTCCCTACGGTCCACCTTCAATGGACTCTGGGGGAGGCGGCGGTCCCTACGGTAGCCCTCGTGGCGGCGGTGTCCCACCTCACGTGGTCCACATGCGCGGTCTGCCCTTCCAAGCCACGACTGATGAGATAGCCGCGTTCTTCACCCCTGTGCAACCCGTCAACATTACTCTTCGTTACAATGCACAGGGCCGACCAACGGGTGAAGCGGATGCTGAATTTGCTACACACGACGAGGCGAAGGAGGCCATGAAAAAGGATCGTGAAAAGATCGGGACGCGCTACATTGAACTCTTTCTCGATTCTTTCCCCTCCCATGGAATTCCGCAATCACCTGGTTATATTGGCGGTGGTGGCAGTTCAGCCGGCACCTCGTGGAACTACGGCCCGCCATTTTACGGCGGTGGCAGTACCGCGCCTCCCACGCCTGGTGGTGGTGCGAACGGTGCTCCGGTTGCTTCGGTTGGGCGGTATAATGGAGGCGGAAGAGCTCCTGGAGGACCTCCATCCCGTGGCTACTACGATTCGCCTAATGATGTTGGTAGTGGTAACGCTGGTTATTATGGGACTGGCGGGGGTGACTATGGCTACGCTCCTCCTCCTTCGGGGCCTGTGGACGACCGATATGGAGGCGGGGATGTTCGCCGGGGCGAGAGTGGTAGTGGTTATGGTGCGCCGCCGCCATCGTCATCTGTTTCTTCAAAAGTGGAAGGTAGGTGTCGAATTGGTCTGTCTGATGATGTTCTTGTTTAGCCTCTGACGACGGATATGACCGCTACGATGCTCCACGCGAAATGGAGAACTACTACTGGTGAGGCGGGGAGTGTGAAGATAGTGATTCAATTAATTGTGCATTTCTTTTGTACTCAACACAAGTCGATAACCTATTGTTTTTACATCAATAGAAGGCTTTTTATCCTTATCGATTGTCTCCTCCCACTTGGTGATCTCTTTGAGCCCAAGAAACGAGCGCTACTTCGGCGTTGCGCTTTTCATCTGCCTCATCGCATTAGAGTGTATTCGTAGGCGTGGTTACTACAGGTGCTTAATGTGTGCACTCGTAATTGTGCTTTTCGTGGGCGTGCATTGTCTTCCGACCTGGCTTTTGTTTTGGGTGCAGTGGACGTTTGCAGTGCATCAATTTGTTGCTCTATCACAGGGGTCGGGGGGGGGGGGGTGAGGAATCGTCTGGTCCTGCCTGAACAGATCGAACCAGAGTGGAGCTGCGGTCTGCGGATTTGGTTCCTGCCCGGCACCTTTCAAAACGCTTTGGGTCGAAAGGAGCATCTACACCCGCGGGATCCCCAAACACACTGGATGATTTGCATGTGCGTTTAGGAATCAGTTTTATTGGGACATTTCACAAGAAAAGTCAAATACTCTGAAATAATTCGAGGAAAAAGTTGAGGCAACCTCATGATATCGCAAAGGGGAGGGGGTGAGGGTATGGGTTTCTGTCATCATCCTGCGACGAGTCACGATGCATGACGTCGACAGGTGGATGGATGGAATGTGTTGGAGACAAGGACAAAAGACAAGTGGACAGAAAGACGCACGAACAACGCAACGAGGAAGGGAAGGAGGGACGGAGGGAGGAGCACTAGTCATCACCTTTGAAGCTTTTCACGCACTGTTTGATCTGCCGAACCGCCTCGTTGGCTGACGCTTCCTGGCTCGACTTCGCTTCAATCAGGATGGATCCGGTCTGCGCCTGTGTGGAGAAATCCGACATTAGAAGTGAAAGAGGTAAACATTTCATTTGATGGAACTCACCGAAAGTTTCACCAACACGCAAACTGCCATCTCCGCAACCTCGGCGTAGAGAGACGCGGTGGTTCCAACACATTCAACAACTCCAAGTAAAAAAGCCGCTTAGTTAAAAAGGCATTAAAGGAGATGAGCCGAAAGTCCAACCAACTAACTTGATACTCCAGCGTTGGCGGCGAGGTTGTGCAGAAGGGCGACAAAGGCTTCTTCGGCAGACACCAAAGTGGAACCCTTCACAGCCTCAGCAGTCGCGGGACAACGAACCTTAACGCGGCAGGCGGCAGTGAGTGTGGAACCCATCAGCAGCTTCGAAAAGGCTTCCTCCGAAATGCCCTGCTGAGGCTGGTGATGATCCACGATCTGTTTCAAGCCCTTCGAACAAGCGATTTAACAAGTGTCAAAGCGCACGCTACTGACAATCAAATAAGTAGCAGCAGTAAATGACCTCAGCTTTCAAACGTACATTGGAGGTAGTCGAGTCCTTTTTCGATCGTTCTTCACCGTCCACCTGGACTTTCATTTTCCGTTTCTTCACTTTAGCCTTATTACTGGACGTGACGGTGGCCACAGTCTCCGGAGCTTGAATGTCCAACTGGATGTTCAGAAGGCGGTGAGGATCGGTTGGGTCCAAATCGTTCTCTTCGTCAGGCGAATCCAACTCGTTGGGTGTGACACCCTGCAAGAAAGTGCTACCGTCGTTGAAATATTGCAGTTAAATAGGCTCGGTGTCACAAATATGTGACGTGTGGTACTCATCAGCTGACGACAATCAGTTGCATCAAATCGCGTATCGCAACTTGAACGACCGAGTATCGAACGAAAAAGGAGATGCAGAGCGTTCTCAACCTGAGAACAATTCCATCTGAAACAGGTAGGGCTGCGATGGATGGCTTTCTTCTAAGACCCTGATAGCAAACACGTTAGCCTGCCATGACTAGACCTCTATGATGGTGGCATGGAGTTCCGTCAGTTGCTTGCAGATTAACACGCTCTGCAGCGTCTCGAGCCTTTCACTGATGTCAGTATGGCGAGGCGTGCTCGAGTCCCCTTTCACCTTCACTTAAGTCCAGTCACTACGGAAGAGAGACATCCACTGCGGATAACCGAATCAGTGAAGACCTCCGCCAGGGGGCGAACGCGCAATTTCCACCAACTCCACAGCCATAAAATGAACCAGCGTTAACACCCAATAAAGCGATGCAGACGAGCTTGATTCTTCCATCACACCTGGTGTGACGAACCGAACCAATGGGAACATAATTATCCTAACAACCGACAGGTCAAGAGTGTCACCTTCAAAGGTTCGTTCATTTACCTTCGGCAGTTGTAGAACGCACAGACGTGGGCAACGAAAACAGACAGGTTCCACGCAGCTAAGACTCAGTAAGTAGTCACAGGAGGCACTTAATCGGAAGCCGAAAACAGCCGCCATGCCTGAGATGGTGAACAAGAAGTGAAAGGTGGCTCTGAACAAGTTGAGGTTGGGGGAATGTAGCCTCAAAAATTCAGCACTTTTTCAAAATACGGACGCATGTTTGGACAAAATTCCGTTACCTCTGGCAGGTCCATGACATTGCTGACAGTGACATTCGAGGGGAATTCGTTTGGCTCCTCACCTTCCGCTTGTTCAGCCACAGCCGCCTTTCTCGAGCGCTGTCCCTTCTTCGTGGCCTTGCCGCGAGATCTGCAGACAGGATAGGATCAATACAAATCTAAGCGCGTCATATACTACTTAATTGGGAATTCAGCAAATCAAGTCGATTTCGCGGTGTGACTTGTTGCAATAAGGACAAAGGGATGCAGATCAACTTAGTCGCACAAGGTGATGGGATTGCTAAATCTGAAAGTTGATGATGAAAATCAGGCTGGAAATCAAACTCCCTACGTAATACTTAGAAAATAACTTAGATGGTGATGAAATCTAATCAAGCAAGAATCTTTTATGAAGTAAAATATCCGAACTTGTATCAGCAAGTTGTCCTAAAAATCGGAGGAAAATATGCCACATTTTGTACCGAGAGATTAAGCCCTGCACATACTACTTAAAAACAGTCAGCGCAACATGTATGCCTCACCGAATGGTTTAATAAAACGATGACGAGGAGATTAACTAGGCTTCACGTCCAATAAGTATTTAACCAATATAAAGAGTAATTAACCTAGCGGATTAAATTAGAATTGCGTCATTAAACAAAAAAATCCTTCCTCTAGCAAGAGTTTGATATATTCTTTTGTGCGGCTTCACCACCTCCGTCAAAAAGCAAAAAGGGCATCTCATAATTTGTTGAGGTAAATTGCACAATTTCAGGAAGTTTTCAGGGAAAATTAAAAGTGTAGGCTTAAGTGAAAAGTTGAAAAAATTGGTAATTGAGAAGCTGGAAATAAAAACACACCCAGAAACTTTGGTATTCGCCTTACTCATCTCCTTGAATTGTTTCTGCATCTCCATCGCAAATTTGTCCGAACTCGCCAGTTTCAGCTCTACAATCCAATCATTCCTTCATACAGAAGAAATTCCGAAATACCATCCTTTTCAGCACCATATCAGCAGACTCACCACCGCCGCCACTGGGGGGTTCCGCCACGGGAGTATCATTTTCGCTTGGAGTTGGGATGGCCACTTCATCTTGGGCGGTAAGATTATGCGAACTACTTTTCGTGGGTTTTAGATAGTGCGGATTTGACTCCTGCATCAGCAAACGTTGCTTTCGCATCTACATGCATTCCCCAAAAAAAGGAAAAACAGCGGTGAACTTCTAACTACTTAATTCCAAATCAGTAGCGGAATACCCTTGGATCAAGTTACTAACCTCGTCTAGCTCTGCCTGTGATAATTGAACGGGCTTTGGTCCCTCGGGCTCCACTAGACCGGAGAAAATGCCATCGCCAGATGGCCTAATGTCAACCTGCAAAATCGAAAGCAGACGGTGTGAGTCTCATCGCAATTCAAAAGAAGTTGGAGGACGTTAATAACCAAGAAAGAAAACAGTTTTCATCGTTAGAAGTAGGAAGCCACAGAAAGACCTGGGCATTTCAAACGTAGCGACAAAAGTCACTTGGCAACGCAATTTCGTTCAATCGAAGTTTGCAGAAATGAATAATACATTCCATTCCACCTGCCATGATTGGTTATAGATGCATTCCATTTATAAATCCCGGAATTTTTTGAAAAAATGAAGTAATCTGTGTATCGTAGACGTATTTTAAACTCATCAGTGTAAAACAACTGCTACGAAAAATAAAAACACACATTTTTGCCACGTTTGGTCTTCTTAGACTTCATATCCTGAGAGGAGGAGAGGGCATTGGGCGAAGCTACCAACAGCTGTGATGGTGGCGACGGCGGTTCGTTGATCCAGGCGTCCAGATCGAGTCCCTTGGGTACGGGCACTTTGCGTTGAGCCTTCGGTGCCACTGGATTCAACTCACCTTCAAAAAGGGAGCACAACTCGTAGAGGAGAGCGTGTAGTCCCACGAGAAGGTCATGCGCTGGTGATGCCTGCTGCGGCGCTTCTGGAAAGAAAATAAATTGGCTCATCTATCTGTATCTGTTTAGTAGGCTTAAAATGCAAATTAAAAATGTATTCACATTTAAAGGATATAAATCTGAGTCAAGTAACATTGAGGTGACAACAACCTCAGGGTAACGAATGTAGGGTGAAACTACGTACTCGAGCCCTTTACACACTTTTCCCCCATAAAACTACTGGGGAGCACTTTGGACAGCTTTGGGCAAAACCTCTAACACCAGCGTTACGTATCATTCAAACCAAGAGGAGCTAGATCGTTTCAAGACTAGCCTTTATCACCGCAAAATTAAAGGTACGACGTTTAGGCCACGCTACTAGGCTTCCACAAGCCTACAGCAACACAACCTCCAGACACGTCTCTAGGAGTTACTCATGCTCTAGCACCAGGAGTAGACAAACGCGTTCAACGTCTTTATACCTTGTAAATTTCAATGACAACTAACGTGGCTACTTGGATCAACAAGTGGTTACTGTGTGAAAAAAGCCGTCTGTTGTGAACTGATGAATCTGCATCAACTCATAACAGTAACGGCTATTGAACAATATGGAGCTTCGGGTGTTGTTCAAGTTACACGTGATCAAAATTTCCTCAAACATACTCGCTAAATAACAGCACCTCAAAACAGCTAAGAATGAACGAAATCTATAGGGAGACTACTATCGTTACCAGGGCAACAGTTTTACTAGGGGGGTCCGTTAAAGGACGAGGTTTAGCTGCACACACAACTATGCGGACCTTTGAAGTCTACATTGGCCCTCTGCGGCATACTAGGTGGGTTTGGACAAGCCCTTTTCTGGCTCCTGACGCCTTCAGAAGATCTTAAATACAAAGGCATGAGGCATTTAGAGCATTTACCGCAAAGAGTGGGCCGATTTGCCTCATAAATAGATCACGAGTACCTATCCAGACCAAATAAGCATAAAGTTTGCAAAAAGAAACTGAAGCGCACCAGCACACGACTTGATTTCGAATTGCACAGAACCAAGGGGATCCAGCTGGCCATCACCATCACTTCCTAACAAATCTACGATTTCGGCAGTTGTAGTCGAATTGGGCACCGAATCTCCAGCCTGAACTCGCAACTTTGATAGCCTCTTCGCCATGAGATGCAAGAGCTGATGAATTGAAACAGCCTAAAAACAATCAAATGAAGTCGTTAAGTAAGTTTAAAGGAGCCAAGCCACCTAATCATATTGACCCTCACCCTTTCTTGCACTTCCAGATTGGCGGAATGGACAAAGAGGGCGATTTTATCCATCAGAAAATTTGTGAGTCCAATTAGACGATCCAAAAGGGCTTGAAGCTCTAATAGCGATGGATCCGAAGTCCCCATTTCCAACACTGGACTTTCCAACTTGCAACCATTTGTCGACTCGGTGAACCACTTGGCCGCAAGTTTGCAGTAGAGCTTAAGCGAATTCAACACAAGCACGGATTGAATGTGACCGCGAAGATCCACCAAATTTGCGGTCTCCAGCATAGCTTCTAGCGTTTCTCGCGGTTCCTCCAAGAACCTGATAAATGATGGAATCATTGCAACTCACAATATATAAGTGAGAACAAGTAATCGTAGTTATATCCGCTTCTCCTGAATAAAGCTACCTACAAACGGTAAGCAGCACATACCCAGCGTATTCGCCACAAATCCAGGCAGCTGCGTAGATGACGTCGTGGAGACTGGCTTGATTAGAGTGGGTTATCATACCCTTACAGGAACGCAAAAATATTGCCTAAATGTGATGAAAAATTAGGAATAATTAGTACAGCCAATCAAACGGGATGCGATTTAACTTCACTCCGATTGGCTAGAGTAAACCACTAACGCTATAAAACTATGAGGTTCCATCGGACAATGGGGTGCATTTTGGCAGGAACTACCGTAGAGAGGACTCCACTAACAGGAAAGGCTGAACCGCATAAAAAATACTGCAAGTGCGGTGGCCTACCATCTGACTAACAGCAAAGGGCCGAACAGAGGCTACACGAACCGCCACATCGAGGAGTTGATTAGCCAGAAGTTCTCCGTCTCGGTTGAGGTTCAACTGGGCTAGTTCTAAGAGGACGGAGATGTACCTTCAAGAGTAAGGAGATGAGATAATATTAGGCCAGATCGAGAATGAGACTCCGCCTATGTATCTGCCAAGCTCGAACGTGTCCACCTGTCATCCATTAATTCAACGTTCTAAGTTCAATTAGTCCTCCATCAAATCTGTCTCTATCTTTCTAATCTGCAATAACAGTCTAATGTTCCATTTGTCCAATCAACTGCCTTCAAGTAATGAAACGTTAGAGCATCCATTCGCCTCACCTTCCAAAAAATATACTCAGATTCATCAGCTACCACTGATCCTTTCGTGGATTTATCAATTTATCCGGATATTCACCCAGAAAACCGAAACATTCCCTAATACATAGAACTGTCTAGTCGACTTACACTTCGGTCAGAGATCCAGCGTTTTTGCAGTCATCGGCCTATTTGAACAATACATTCATTTATTTATTTACCAAGCCATCAAACTGTTTGTCAATTTATGTGGAAGGCGTATAAAAACCACCAATTAATTTGTCCATCCATCAGACCATCACTTGAATTACCACTGAGCCAAGGGTTTAGTCATTCATGAGACTACCCAACTAACCATTCAAGAAGCCATCCGTTCATCCAGCCAGATATACAACCTTTCAAAGACCCACGTATCCGTAGGTTCATCAAGTTCACTATTCACTGTCTAAGCACTTATTCATCAATTTCACTTCACTCGGCCACTATCCCATCGCGCGAACTATCCATTTAACGGATTACATCTTTAAAACCCATCTGGACTGCCTATTCATCACCTCATCCACTCTTCCATCAATCTGACAAGGGGAAGAGCTTTGAGTCCCACTGGAAAGGCAAAGAGCCATCCAGCACTCAAAAGCGACGACGTATTTAATGGGTCTGATAATCACTCGGCTAGTCATTCACTACCTAGCACCTATTTCGCTCATCCATGTATAAATTGACCTTTCCTTCCTCCTGTAAATTGAACCACCAACCGGTTCAACGAACCGATCACTCACGGATCCCATGAATCATCCCTTATACTACGATGCTAAAGGACCATAAAATAGCCCTATAGGTAGTTCATTCATCCAAAATTCCAGCGAACTATGCATCTGGCAGGTCACTCACTCGCTCAAGCCCTACTCGGCATTCCACTCACACCCACAAGTCCAAGAAACATAAAAGGGCGGGCCGAAAATGGCTAGCAACTCACCACTCGAAGGAGAGGACATACTGATAGTTGCCTTGTGAACAGATACGGACCACGGTGGTGATGAGTTCGGCCCGAAAATGCGCACCAATTTCGGGTGCGGAGAGGTGACGCACAAGGCTACGCACAATCTCCAGCAGATTGGTTCGACTTACCATCCCGTGGAGGAGATCTAATGCTCGCAGCCTGATCGACTCATCGCGGTCATCGAGGCAGGCCAAGATGAGATCCTTGTGCGCTTGCACACTCTTTGGGTGATGGCGAAGAATCTTGCCCATAGCCAACAGTCCCAGGTACTTCACTGAAGTGCAAGCAGGCAACTACTTATCTAACAGGTAGTAGCACGCAGACAATAAATCAACTTGCCTTTGATGAAAGCTACGCAGAACACTATTTTGATTTCTGAATTCCTAAAATACACTACATTCCTTGCCAGATACTACTTATTTGACTGCTTCACGTAGACAATATGCCGAATTGTCCCTTGAGCTAATAAAAAGACGCAAAAACGGCTGCCCATAATTACACGACCTCAAATTATCCCGACTTCAACGTGCATGAAACAGCGGTCTAATCAAAGCCGACATAACCCGCAAATGGGAGCGTCAGTGCTCACAGCAGCTAACCGGGAGAGCCGTGGCCTGTACAAAAGCACTCTGCGTAGTGCAGACACCATAATTCGGATCGGTTACTCTCCAATTGTGCTTGCAGAGGCATATCCGTGTGCATCGCCACCTTTCACTTACATTTAGATTGCTGCTAAAGTTGATTTCCCTTGTTGTCTGGTCGATCCAGAAACAAAAAATGGCCAGGAGATGCAAATTTCGCTTTTATGGAAGCCTTTGCCTCCAGAACCAAAATTGCCTCCGTTTTTTACTCCACTTTTACCTCTCAACTATCTACTCTGTTTTACAGGTGAGCACGCAATTGTCGAGGACCGTCTGTGAGAAGAAATAACACTGGAGGAATACAGAGGGAAAAAAGAAGCAGTATCGCCATATCCATAGGACCCTGGCCGGGATAAATTATGCCGTAAGAGGGCTTGCATTGCCTTCTACGAGCAAAACATTCCCCCAGTTTACTTGCTAATCCTGAGTCGTTCTAAAGAACAAGCTTTTCATGCACGGCCAAGAGTTGCATTGAGAAGACCACAGGCCCAATTGTTGTCTGAAGAATGGCACCTCCACCGCACTGCATCTATACAAAGCAAGCAGTCTTGCACGGATGAAGCGGTGCGTGGTTTAGCATTGTGGGGGTAGGCAATGAACCATTTGGAGACAATCCATGGTATATACATTCGCCTAACTTCCCATTACAGACTATTTAACTAACAAACAATCCTAGAACTGTTTCTACAACGTTCATGAAAGAAATGGGGGATAACTCGATAGATTTCCTAAAGTTTGTTGTCATTTGACGATAATGCATGATACTCGTAGCTCATATGCTTAGCTTTCCCTTCCGAGTTAATTTAGGTGTAAATAATTTCACCACTTATGGTAGACGTTGCTGGAGAATTTGCTTCACATGCCAACCTTAAGTTACTTTAACCAATGACAACAGGTAATTTTTAGATGAGGGCGGCTGTCTGAACGCCATACGTTTGTCTTTGAGTAGTTCATCATAAGAATCAACTTCTTTTAATAACTTCCGGGTGGTTCTTTCTGTCTTTTAAGTTCCATACAAATGCAGCGAGAAGAGTCCGTGGTTTCCGGAATCGATTCAAGTCCGATTTATAAAGTGGACAAGCTAAGTCCACACCGGCATCTCATGATAGGGGGATTTCAAGTAATGACAAATTATTTTATAGCGATGAGCTCAAGTGAAAAAGAAATCGGATTTTTTTGATAATCTGATTGAAGTGAATGAAGAGACACTCACAAGTTACAATATTTAAAAAAGCACCAACTAAACAATCATTTTGACTGGCATATCACAAAATATGGTTGCGTTTTCATAAGCTAATATGACGTGACCCTGTTTAAGGAGTACCAAATCCATAGATTGCACATCTTTCCAGCTCGGCACTATGGTTAAATAAATAAAAAAAGATCCGTTTGCAGTTAGCCAATCAGCTGCCTGATTGGAAAACCGACTTAAGGATGATTGGCTCGTAACCGAGAGACCAATGAGAAGGCTTAAAAACTTAAAATCACCAATGGAATGGTCTACATTACACCATATCACAAGGTGAAGGCACAATTTACACGAGAGATCATTAAGTCATTACTGGACCTTATCCCCTCTTCGGATCAGTCGCATTTCTGACGACCGGAAGTGCCAGCTAATCTAAATCCTAAGTGTCACCATGGAAGGGAAAGAAGGGAGGGGTGTAAAATGGCATTACAAGTAACTCACAATTCTGATCGGAGTCTTCGATGAGAATCCGCAGTTTTTGAACGCAGAGCTACAAATAAGAATAGGGAAGAATATTTAATAAATTCACAAGATTGTAATACGCCCACAATGGTAGGATTTGAATCAGCTAAGAATACACCCGCCGCAAAGAAACAGTCCTTTGTGAGGAGAACGGACGTTCCACTGGCTAGTTTTGAAGTCGAAATACTCCATTCAGATCACATTGGGTTATGGTTGATCATCTTCGAAACAAGGAAGTAATGAAAAAATTAGATGAGCTGAAAGCAGCTACAATGGAAGCGGGCACATTGCAGTTAAGCCCAGAAAACCCTTCCATTTGTTAACAACGAGGCTGCTTTCATAACCATAATGCAACACAATGACTCCTTTTGCTCCTCAAGAGTGATATTTTAACTTCAGCACGGATTCGAGGAGAGGCCTGCACGCAGATAATCGCGAGATTACTGATGAGAGACGAATTTGCTGTCAGTGGTTGCCTGTGAAGACTTTCGAGAAAAGAACTACTATCTAGCGATTACTTTAGTCATTAGAAGTGATTCGGGATGAACAAATCAAAATCGAACAACGAAGAAAGATGAAACCCACAGGAATCTGGCGTGCCCCCAATGGGCGGCCGTGGCGAAATAGCAAGGAATTTGACTGGGACGAACTATAGGGGATGGGGGCTGGGGGTAAATATATTTAAGAGGCCTTATCTTTCGTGCAGAAAGATTCTTACAAGAGTGCATTCAGCAAAATTTTCATCATTAGGACTTATCATCATCACCTTTCCCGCAAACTGAGAATCCCACTTCTACCGAATGCTTTGTCGGCCTTTCTGCCTCACTTTTAGCCTTTAATTGTTGACTTTGCTTGCATGAAACTATGCGACGGCGCAGTATCAAGGAAAGGGGATGGCCATCACACGAAGAAATGGCAACGGAGGAATGCAAAGAGGAGGTAGAGCAGGAAGCATCACCTCCCCCACCACCACCACTTTGGAGGCATTTCGCATTATGTTCAAGTTTTGCCACACCACAAGGTTTGATGTCCTGTCTTTTCCCGTACGAATAATCTGCCCCTCCGATTAACTACCCTCGCCTGTTGGAGTTGTCAAGTGTGGGACTTAGCCGTGATTAGTTTACTTTCGGCGAGCGGGCGGTTCATGATGAACAACTGCGTCGGCAGTGCAATGCACGTGCATGAAAGAGGCACAGTCCTTCGGGATTGAAGTGGTATGCACAGCAGAAGTGTGGAGAGGTCAGTAGGTTGTCTAGGAGTAACTGAAGGTTAACATTAAATACAAAAACCCGTTTCTCATCGCTGATCAGTCAACCAACAAACAGTCCTCTCCAAAAAGGCAACCAAAAATTGATGGAATTTGAGGTCTGTTGTCTACTATCTGTTGTTAGTGCACGCCATATGACATCAACTGGTTTGGCATCCACAACTTAGCCTGTTAATTGAGGAGTAAACAAAGTATTTCACCGCTCGCGACAAAAAATGCGGTGAGGGCTGTTCTTGGCAGATTAATCTTGGGCTATCCAATCCTTGAGACCCATATTTCGTCAATATTGTCAAAAAGAAGTCTTTTGATTTCATCTTTACGACCCACGTATTTGTAGGTGATTCATTACCAAAACTACATTTCTAGATTATTTGTGAGCGGTGCCTTTTGCTACCACACAAAGCACCTGCTCCGAATGCTAATGCAACAAACATGATGAGAAGGTTCTACAACTTCGCTAGGAGGGAGGTGAATTTCGCAAAGTAGACAAGTTCAAAGCACGTCTATCCGGTTCAATCAAAGCTCCAATGATACAAGAACTCAAAAGGGGAGGAGCTAGTAGAGGAAACAGTAAACAAGACTAATGTACCAGTATACAGGGCGCTACATGTTACAGAAATCCATTTCAGAGAGAGCTATAACGAAATCCGCAAGACTATGTGACAATCGAATTCCACACAGCCTAATGTGTCCCGGAGCAATAGCACAGCAAAAGTTCCAAATTTCGTTCACAAATTTAGGTATGGAGGCATTTGAAGCCATTTGTGGCTTGGGAGGAATACTTAACTCAGGTCCCTACTTCTGCAACAATGTTAGGTTACCTAAAGTAGGTCTAAAGAGTAAAACGCCTTTCCTTACCACGGAAACAAAGTCAATTCATTTACAAATCTCCCTGTTCCGATTGATAAACTACAATAAGCATTACGAAATGAATGCGCATAATTAGGCTTACACATTTGTACAAGTAGAATCGTCTGCTAGAACTTCACATGCAACTTGCTGAGTTCAATGATCCCGCAAGTCGTATTTACACTAACCCATTAACTCAAAAAGACCAAAGAAGGCCAGACGACTGTTAGTCCGTAAGAAAATCGGACATTTAATGCTTTACCGATCGTTCCGCCCACCTCCTCCTCCCACTATCGGCAGTCATAACAAATGGGGATGCTCACCTGGATAGAGGCATGATGATCAGGCACACCTGAAGAAATTGAAAGGAGTACTTCAGGTGAGGAAGTAAATAAACATGCACGTGCAAACGAGGGAGCAATCAAAGCATAAATTTGCACCAAAGGCATGCAGAGAGGATCAAGTGGGTGTTAGTTGTTTGAAGACGACAACAGACACAGCAATATAGACGTCACACACAGAATACAAATACGTAGATATAGCCCCAAGGTCGTAGATTTACCCATTCGAAGAGGGGAGGAGGCACAGAGGTAAAAAAGGCAGCATCAGTGTTAGGAGTGCTGGCAGCGGTTAGTTTAATAAAGCCCCAATTCGATCTAATGAGATCAAGTCAGCAAGTGACTTTCGCCATGACATGCAATGCTCCCTAATGGCATTCATAAAGATTGCGCCATTTCTTCAAAAAAAGATGCAACGTCATTCAGTCTTTCTAACTGAGGAGTAAATAAGTCAAATTTCGCGGAATTTGGGGACCAAAATAATGCGTAGATTTAGAGGCATCACAAACTCCGGAGAGGTGCGATTCTACACCTGTTTTTGCAACTAACTTTACCCATAAACTAAGCTCGTGGTCAGAACATTACCAAAGTAAATGACATACGACAAATTTTATGGTGTAGGCAATTAAAAAGAGAATCTAATTACCCAAAAGACCAGCTAAGCCTCCATAACAGGCCTTCTTTAGCAACAATTATCAAAAATCCCCCTATGGTGACACATTACAAGCGAGAACCTCCGTCGGGCATTGAAATCATTGCGCCTGTCTTACTAGAGAAGTAAACCGAAACGTAGCAATTGCCAAAAGTGATGAGAAGCCAAAAAGGAAAATTAACTGAACCTAGTTTAGAATAAGAGAGCGGATGCGCGCACACACATACACAACTCATGAGAGACTGACTCACCCGCTAGAACCGTGTTGATACATTCGTAGAGCAGTGACATGGCAGAAGTGCTGTACGCGCATAGAAGGAGAAAGAAGGGATGAGGTTGAAAGCGGTCACACACAAAGGCAACTTTAGTCTACATCGCTTTCCATCTATCCAAATTAGAACGCCCTCTTGGAGATCACTCACACCAGTTCAAATTAACCCATCAGCCTTATTCACGAGATTGATACTTTCACTACCAGTATTGTTTGTAGTTGACGTCACTATTCTTATCTGGGCCTGGAAGTTACACACATGAGAAGAGTTTGTAAATTAATTCATGAAAATTAATTCAGCCAACTTTGTTGTGTTTTAAACAGCAAATTAGATGTAGAACACTCATGGCCTGCGAACAATCACGAAGTTGAAGTGGTCAATCCCCTAGGGCATAATTGCGATGTCATATTAGGGTGGCGGTCATTTTACCCCTGAGGCAGACCTTAGTAGCAAACGAATAAATAAACTCGACAGGTATTGAGAACGCAAATAAAGAGTACAATAACTCACTTGTGGATAAGATTTGTCAGCGGTTCGATGAGCTTCTTGCCCAGCCTCGGTTCCAGTGGAGTAAGAGCACCAAACTAAGTTAAGGAGTGAATAAAATTAATTAAAAAAGACCAACCAGCTTGATGATTTTAATAAGAACCCAATTGTTGGTCGACGTGGTCATAAGTTTGAAGAAGACAGGTGAGAGTGACAAGTAATTTTGGGGATTTTTACGGGCCAACTCGCATATCACGTTCACGGCGGCTGATTGAACGCCTTGAAGAAGATAAAAAGATATGAAAAAGTAGCTAAGAAATCGAACCTGGATCTGGATCCTCCAACTTTTTGCGGAGTCGTGGAAAGGCAGTCCGGAGTGCGTCTGGGTTTTTAAGAAATACTTTGTACAATAGAAGAATAGCCTTTCTGGCTATATAGGGCTTAGGCGACGCAGTCTAGAGGCTCAGTTACTAGAGGCACACCAATTTACCAAAGCCAAAATATCATCGCAGAGATCTCTTGCCAAGTCAGGCGTCACAAAACAGGACAGACCAGAAAGTGCAACGCTTGTATCGTACAATTTTCCACCATTTAAGTCCTAATTTAAATTAAAATGAAAAACCACCCAAACTTACCTTCCGTATGAGATTCGTTGCGAGCATTAACACATCAATTTGCTCTCCAAAACATTGAGACGCAGCCAAATAACCGATTCTCTAACAAAAAAATGAAGGCGCCTTCTAAGCAACCTACTTTGTGTGAAAATTTTGAACTGCTCATAACTTCGATGATATTGAAGGCAGCCCAAGAAATGTCATATCCGAGCATTTGAAGCTAAGAATTAGCCCCCAAACAGTTCTTACATATGCCAGTTTATTTATAGCATTGGCCTTAGATACTATATTCCCTGTCTTCAATTCATTTTTAATCTCATCGATGCACTCATTGATGTATTTGGTCTGAAAATAGAAAAGCGATGCACTTTATCGCATACCTCATTATGTTTGTGTGACCTTATTCCCCTAACTAAATCTGAAAGGTCCTTGTCTAAGGCCCTCTCTAACGTATTTCTAACAGCAGAAAGTGCCATCAAGAAGGGGCAAATGAACTCTCAGGCCAAAACGACGAGAGGCTGGAGAGTAGCCCACGACCTCCTAAATCATCGGTAGCATTTGTAAAAATGTAAAAATGTTTGTAATGATAGCATTGATACAAAAATCTGCCCAAGGTACAGACAAAAATTTTAATTATGCCACAGCTTATATCTATTTCACATCGATGCACTGCTAAATGGTTGAATCAGAAAATAAAATAACTTTGGATATATTGAAAAGTCACAAAACAGTTCAGAAAGGTTATGCATCCATCGTTTAAGAAATGAAGTATAATTTTTTAGAATGTCCTTGGACACTTGCTTAAAAGGAATGAAACATCCGAATCTTCTGTCGATACTCACAAATTTGTGGATAAGTTCCAGAAAGTTGCCTAAAATGAAGATTATCTTTGATTAAACAACATTCTCAGGAGCAATTGCTATTCAAATGCACATTATTGTTGCTGGAATACACAAGGATTTGTTTTAAAATAGGTTTGTTTAGTATGGATTAAGAACATCTAGAAATTCATCCACGTATAAACCGCGTTCGTGTGTTCTTATATCTGATTTATAGCATATTTTGATGTAGAGAATGAAAGCACTACTTTGCCTTTCGTCTGCTTTGACCGAGTTTTTCAGAAGCCACAACGAGCCAAAGTGTTATCGAAGTTTGTGCTACTTACTAACGCACAAATTAGCCAGGAGGCCATCACCGCACCTGAATATCATGCTGAAAGGTAGAATTAAAACTTCTAGAAAGCCAAAAATCCCGGGCAATTAAGGGTACACTTAACTAAATGTCCTAATCATTAAAAAATGATGTTTTAAATGAAGCAATGAATTCGACTGTATCCGTTGAGAGATTTTGGATTCCATGTGAGTTTTTGTGTTTTTTCGAGAAAGTCGATTTGATAAATGGATTTAATTTAAGAATTGGCACTTGTCTGTCAGTGTGATACGCGAATTGGTAAAAATAACCACCAAATGTTTAACGCGTAGTGGGGTTTTGATTATTTGGTGTTAGAGACCAAAATTTGTTTATTTATAAGCACAAAATCTGCAAAAAATTGCATAGCAAGTAAACAGCACAGTTAGTAGAAACCGGCTTTTTATCAGGTGTCCAAGACAATTAGTGAAAATTTCGAAACATCGGACTTTGTTCGCCTCTTGCTGCTAGCAGAGAATCGCAAAATGCTTGTAAGCAATAAAAACAGATTCGTGCCTCGTATTTAATGCGCTTTTTTGTCCACTCTATTACTTTTCAACCAATTACAGTTAATGCGATTGGAGCTTGACTGCGTTATCAACTGACTGATATGAAAGAAATTCCGCTTCCTAGACTTTGTAGATAATCTGAGGCGTCATACCTCGCAATGGAGTAAAACTTATGCGTAAACAGGCTAAAGCTTTTCTTAACTCAGGGAAAAGTTAGTTAGTGCGATACCTCCTCGTCCTTATACTCAGCCTTAATTTCCCCATTGCTTTCAGCTTTCTCCAAATTATAAACAACATCTCATCTTAGTGTTGCCCGAAAACTACGCCATCAGACAATTTGGAAATCAAAGTGAGATACAGTGCGAAGTGGGTGGGGTCAGTTTTAGTGTCCAGAGGGTAAAAGTTGTCTAAAGTGTGCTGTGGTGTAGCCTTGCCTTACTGAAACAGTTTCAGTAGCATTCTACTTTTGTTCTGGTAAGCACGTACAATTATGGTTTAGGGTATCCAATGTATTTTGACAGAATCAATTAATGTTCCAACTCTGTATTTTTATGATTTTTTTAAGCATTCCAAAATTTTTACTTAAATTTTAATAAGCCCTTCATCAAAATACAAAAGTGGGCAATTATTCTGACATCGACTTAATTGACGGGGTGACTTATAAAACTCGTACGCTTTTATGCCAATTCTGTATTCAAATTCTTTAATCAACATCCTGAATAACTAAGCGGAGACTGTAGAATCCATAGTTTGTGCTTCCACTGTGTGGTATGGCCTTCGGGTCACGCTAATAGCTAGCTGGACCTACTGTAGGCAAGTAGTATCGCCTACTTATTACGATTTTGGGGAATATTTTAGACGCTATGCCTCAAAGGACTGCTGGGACTGAAGTAAAAGACAAACGATGGACGGTGCTTGTTTATCTCATACGCTCGGACACGCGGGCTTCTCAATTTGTTGCTTCGATGTTCCCTCCATGGCTTTTCCATTAACAGCTGGCCAACATTTCGACTGACTTCTAATAAAGTTGCAATTAATGCTGTGCATCTTGTAACGTCTCCGGATAGGACTTGGACGCTAATTTTAATGATAAAAGGTAAGCAAATGCGGTACAAATTAAACAACAGTCCTAACTTTTTACTAATTGGATGAAAAGCTAAAATTTGCTTGGAGTCACTTTAGACGGTCCAAAATAAGTTTTAGAGACGAAAGGCGATTAAGATTAAATGGGTCAAAATTGTTTTGACAGGTATGGCTGCAGTACTTACACATAAGAGCAGATTTTGAGAAATCTTCAAAATTGTGGTATTCTTGCTGCCCTGCGGGACGTTCAGAATACTCTAGATGGAAGGCAGTGCAGTAGTAGGATAAAAACAAATTTGGGAAAAGAAATTAGTGTACAAGTGGACCTACTGAAAGTAGGCAAAGACCAAGTTCTCCTTGCTGTTGAATGTCGTCCCACCCCTAAGCTGAAGAGTACATGCTGGAAACACTGGACAGAGATCTCAAAACAAGGTGTGGGCATCTTGCGATGATCAAACCTCGATGTTTTTGTGTGGGAGAGCTCCGTCAACTTTGGTTTGCAACGAATTTCCACAGCAATCACGTGTTCAAAGTGTTAAACCAATTAAAACTCCTCCAAAATAATTCCCAGCCAGAAAAATCGTCACGTGAATCTGACTCGAGGGCACCTTTGCAACTCCTTGCTACTGTTGTTGCTCCGATGCTCTGACTGATAGCTTCCAGTCAAGATTGGCAGACCTTGATAAATGGTTACTGGATTAGAGACGATATTCATGAAGCGGCATTGTTTATCACATGCCACTTGGCACTGACAAAGGCAGGGAGAAGTTATTCTTTGATTAATATCCGCAATAGCCGGAGGGTAGATAGGGTTATCTATCTAAATAAAAAGGTCTAAATTCCTCATTTTCTAGAAAAGAAATCGGCTGCCCACGACCGTCATTAATATTTTCACTGTTCTACTCTTAACTCCGGGTTGCAAATCTCGGGTTGGAGAGGGCTGACTTAAAAAGGGCATTTTATGGTTGTTCAGGAACGGAAAGGGGAGATTTAAAAGTGTAATTTGACAGCAGAGGGAGGACTTAATGCTCGTCGCCTCCTTGACGAGCGCTGACGTTCGTTAAACCAAGAACCTGCAGTAACCTGCTCGCCAGGGACCTAAAAATAATTCTTTAAACCAACACGCCCTACACATGGGTCGACTTTGCTTCTCTCCTTTTTACAGCTTGGTCTAAATTTTAAAAAATCCTTAGCAATTTTTTTTGCGGGAATTCAATTTTATGTCTAGCTACTAAATCTGACGAAGGGAACATTACCATCCACTGATACTTTGAAATGCATCAATAGCAAAAAATTTTAAAGTGTCTAAAGTCCTAAATTTTACGATTTAGACATGAAAATATCTGTGAAAAATTTATGATGTACCGCCTCCGGTCCTCCTCAGAGCATTAATAAGCCAAGGTAGCAGTGGAAGGCGATACCGCTACCTGACGTGCAGTGGGACTTGAAGACCACAAACATGAACCAAAAGCCAGGCCACAGAGTGGAAGGAATCAGAGTTTCTGCATAGTTATACCCACGCAATTAGAAAAGACATCAGGTAGGCACAATGTTATAAAAAGACTTCCCAAAATGGGTGCACTCGTGCACCTTTTAGTCCCAGACATTGACCTTCCATTGACCCTCTTCTTCCTCGTCCTAATCTGATCCAGCTTATGCAATTATAAGGGAGGAGAAAGCCACCTCTGTTGTATGACTTAAGGGATTACTCACAACAATGACGTTCTCCCATTTTTTCGAACTTCAAGGGGAAAGAGATGAACAAATAACCCACATAGGAGTATTTTCTAGGTTCTTTAATCTACACACACAATTCATAACTAAAAATGCTTCTCTAAAGAACTCTAGGGCAAAAACAAAGTTGAATTTAAAAGTAGGGACAAAAATGTTTAAAGTGATAGGCTTAATCACGTTATCTATAATAAAATGCCCCAGTGACTGGTCTCAATCAACCAATCGCTGCCGTAATGCCAACAAATATCATAACTTTTCCAGCTTCTTCAATGGAACTGCAGGGGCTTGATGCTGCGTGTTAACCTACGTGGACGCTTCGCCCTCTCCGCAGGTCGGACTTCTGATCCGCTCTGCAACAGGGCTTTCGGATCACGTCTGCAGCCGCTCATCCACGCTAAACGCTACTAATATATGTTCTCCAACTACTTCGGCTTTTTGCAACTTTGAGACTGCAAAATCTACCATGAAAAGCACATTGCAATGCACCTTGGTTTAGCTTCTGCTTGATGCTTCAAAGGAAAGCTAACCAGCTAGAAAGAATAGTGGATTTTATTCCTAAAATAAATTCATTATTGTTACCTAGGTCATCCAGGTCTTCTGAAACTTGAGTTAGAAATTGTCACGCCCTTTGACTCAATGACCTTGAAAAAACTGTGGACTTGTAAACATTGGTTTTGACTTTTCGTATTTCCGTGGTTCACGAGTGCTGTCTAAGACAAGCAGCTGAGGTGGTGGATTAAAATTGTGGCAGCTGACAACTTGACAACAGATGGAGCACCTGTCGGTAATTAAGGCAGGAGACCAGTGGTAGCAGGTGCATTCATGTGAATAGAACAGCAAAAGGGTACAAAATCTGTAATTAGAGGATATCACCTCAAGAGGGGGCCCTCAAGTGCTGCATGATGTGTTGCGCAGACTTTCAGTCACAATTAGACATGCGTTTGACGCCCTGCTATATGTCAGTGATGACCCCCAGCGCGGTGCTCTCCGATCTGCGAAGCATTAATTCTGGCTGATTATTAAGTAGTCTACCCCGAGATTGCATAAGGGACTAATTTTTTTAGTGATTAGTTCACGTATAGCTGAGATTTAGGAAGGCTGGTTTATGCTGAGCACTGGGAAAGCCAACCAGCCAACTCTAGACTGCTTTGGCAGTACTACTGAATCCCTCTAGGACAAAGCTTTCTTAGCATTGGTTAAAACGGGAAAAATAAGCTTGTAACTACAGCCGGAAACCGAGGTTTTTACCCTCCAAACTTAAATAAAATGCAGCCTTTAGGCTTCATACTTTGCTGATTGGTGCACTAATATTCCACCATTTCTAAAGCACAAGTAGAGTTGCCCAAGGGCGAAACGTCTATCCCGCTATAGACACATCTTTGGTAAATCACTTTAACAGTTCGGACCTACTAATTCTCTCAAAACTTCTTTTTCAAATGAGTTAACCCTAACAGGTGGTCTCAAAATCCACCCACTCGTCGATGAACTGTGACGCTATTTCCTCTAGACAGATGGAAGAAAGCAGTGTACGTTGAAAAGCAATGTATTTCTTGTCTGCAGTAGAAGAGGTATTCTACGGTATCTACTGCATAAAGGCTAAGTCCTGGAACACCGTAACTGGCAATATCAACTGATTATATGGGTACACCACTAACCGGTCTGCGAAACAACACACTTCAACCCTACTACTGCTACTCCATCCAATAAGGCGGATACAACTGCTTCAGTTGCTACTGGATGGTTAATTTACTCCAATTTGAAAGATAAGTGTGCAAAAAGCCAACGTCGGATGTTTCCTGCCGACGCTAGTCTGACAAGCCTCTTTTGACGTCTCTAAATGCGGAAGCTCCTGAAATTGTTGGCATGGTGGTCACCAGCTGCCACTGAGGTCTTCTCCGCGGCACACAGACTTTCACCACCCGCGCCTCTACCTCCGCCTCTCGTGCCACCCTTGCCACCAAATTCGTCCGTCGTCGTCTTTTTACCCACCTCCGACGTGGATGATATGTTGATGTGCATTTGCGGCATCCATCTGCCCATGGTGTCATGATGTCTGGGTCCTGGACGCTGATGCATTTCAACAAGATTGGGGGCTTCGGGAGACTCCCATCGCCGTTGTCGAAGGCTTCCAGTTGTTGATATAGGCTGAAAGTGTGAGGGGATAAGAGTGGGATTTGCTGGAAGAAGGGGATTTGAGGTAGGCTCATTGATGACCGTTCCTTCATCTCGAAAGGACTGACGTTCAGAGAGGACTGGAAATGCATATCCAAAGCCTCCCATCGCGTGCTCCATAGTAACAGGATCAAAGGTGGTTGTGGAAGCCGGTTGGAATATAAAACTTGGTGGGAGACTGAATCCTGTAGGTGGCAATTGCATGTCATTCCAAAGAGGAGGTCGAAAATTCCACGTCGAGGTGAGCTGCTGGGATCGTGGAAGCAGCCAATTGGCGGATGAATTGGACAGCGCTAGCAGGTTCGCGTTGCTCACACTCGGTTCAGAGGAGCTTTCACACGACGCCTCCTTCATAATCGTCAACCCACCCTCGTGGACGCCGGAGGCGGTTTCATCATGGTCGAAATTATCTCCTGAAGGCTTAGCCAATATGGTAGCCTGTTGACTTTCACCATCCGAGATCTCTGAAGCCATCTGTTGTCTAGAAGCAGACATTTCCTGATTGTGGATTAGAAGTCCACCCATGGAATGCTGATCTAGACAGGTTCCCGAACTACAGGCCTTCAAACATCGGGCTGAGTTGAGACACCACATTCCAAGACCCTGATCGAATGCGTTCAACGAGCCCCCAACGTCATCTTTTAAAAGTGTGTCATCTGTTATTTCATTAAAAGCTTTCCGTCGCTGATCACGATCGGAGCCATCACAATACCCTGAAAATGACCTTGAGATCTTGGGACTAGTCTGACTGGCGGAATTTGTCTTTGTAGGTCCACTAGCACTTTGAGCAGCTGGAAGTAGGATCTGCTGTTGCGTGCATATTCCATGGGACCAGAATCCCTCATTCCCAGATAGAAGACCCGGATGAAGGAAATGTGGCTGGAGGATGGGGTATGGATACGACTGGAATCCTGGATACACAGTGGGAGTTATTGGTACAAAACTGTTCGTAAATATTACAGGCATTGTATTTAACTTTCCAGGAAGCGAAAACAGTCCCGACGAATACTGCTCCCCTGCCAATCGTTCCTGTGGCATTTGTCCACTCGTATCCCCAACAAAACTGTTTAAGTAGCTTTGCTGCTGACCATTAGTGAGTCCGTACGCATTTCCATCCAAACTTGGGCCGTATTGAAGGCTGTTGATTTGTTGATAATTTCGGTTCCTGGAGTGTTGTTTGCTGCTGAAGTGGGAGTGAGTAGTATCTCGCGTGGTAGACGCCTTCAGCTCACTAAAATCACTGCAGTGTCGGGTCATCTGGGGTCCACTTTTCCTACCAAAGTTTGGTGGTTCCATTGCCTTAATTTCCACCTGTTTATTTCCCATTGTCAAGTAGTGCATGTTTATCAGTCGATTGACAACAATCTCCTCCTCAAAACCAATGAACGCAAATCCACGATGCCGCTGTTTATTGGGATCCATCATTAAGTTGACGTCTGTGACGCGGCCAAATTTCTCAAAGAAGGCCTTAATCGAGGCGGCATCTTGATCCAGACTGATTCCACCGACGAAGACCTTCAAACTGCGACGATTTCGACCCTTCATCTTAACATTGCACTGTTTGGCGTCAATCTCCTTACCATCTAGCCAATGCGGTTTTGCGGCTAGAACAATCTTCACACACTCTGGATCCCGGTATTTGACATAGCCAAAACCCCTAGACCGCCCCGTTTTGTTATCCATCATAACAACAGCGTCTTCCAGCTCACCGAACTGAGAGAAGTAAATGTGTAAGCTAACATTATTTGTGTTTTGCGAGATGCCCCCGACAAATAATTTGCCAATTTCATTTCCCTCCGAATCTGTCATGAGAGGGAAGGCAAAATCTTTGTCTTTTAACGGAAATGCGTGGTTTTCAGGTGGGTACGATAATCTCCTTTGGCAAGACCGTCAAACTCGCTGGTCATGGACCGCCCTATCGATCAGTGGTTTGAAATGGCGCTCCTTTCGCTCACACGTGTCTGCTGCAAGCACGTGGAAGGCTCCTCCGGACAAGGATGACCTCCCCAAGATATCATGCAATTTTCGCCGAGTCGACTTTGGAAGCTAAAATGTGGGATTTAAACATTAAACCTCTCTCCGTTTTATTAATATCATTTCGTGCTTCCTTTAAAAAATGATAACAACATTTTGAAGTCCTCATTGCAGGATTAAGGAGTGAAAATCAGATTACCAGCTCATTAAAACTAATAAAAATTGCAGGATTTAATAATTCAATTAATGAATATTTATATAGAGTGGAGAAAAGATGATAGAAGAAAAAATGAAGAGCCTCATATTGCATAGGGGTCCCCAAGATTTACCTTACGTATTTACCATCACTTGTGGACGCAAAATGAGGGATTTTAGAGTCCATGGGCTATCTGCAGGAAGGAGAAAGGCACTACGTTTCTCCATCCACCAGATGTACCAGGTGGTGTGGACACGAAGCGTATGCCAGAAATGGGCATTCATTTACCTCCATATATGCATCAAGAAAAGGGCAACTTTTCCTTTCTTCACATCCATTCACATGGGGAAATGAAAGGCTAAAGTCTAGAAGTGACACACAGACGAAGAGGCTTCATAATGGAAAAGATTGTAGAACATATTAGTATGGATTTTGGCCATGTCCCTGACCGATTTGTGGTAAGCCCCACATGCCACAAGTTACGCCGTCGATGAGTGGCGGGTAAGTGTAGTGCAGGCAGATACAAGGGCTTCTCCCCACACTGAATCTTTTCTGGCAGACTGAGGCGCAGGGTAGAGTAGGGCAGGTGATCCCACGGGCGGCGATGCCATTTTGCCATCATGCCTCTGCGCCGTCGAATGCATTTGGCCGCCATGTCGACCAACTGATGCACCTGCTTCTCCACACATTCATGCCTTTCCGCGTGATAACCGACGCCTTCCTCTGCTTTCGTTCCCTAGAGTGAGTCAACTCATTCATCACACTTAAGTTTCCATTGCCAAGATTCGTCTGTTTCACATACAGTGGCGTCTCCACCTCCACAGCACCACCACCACGCCTCTCGCTTAATTGACTTTGATGAAGGGACAAGTAAAGAAACGGGGAAATACGCAAGTAAATGAACGAATGAACAAGCAAACAAATATTATAAAAATAAAAAAGGTAAATATGTAGATAAAAAAGGGTAAAAAGTAAGATTGGCTGTTGG